CTATTACAGTTTTTCTTTGATTGATTTTGTTTACTAAGGGAACGTCATTTTTGGACTGTTTTTTGTCTTTTTAGGAGTCATAAGAAATAGTTCTATGTAGAACATTTTTTGCACTCTTTTGGTTTTGAAAATGTACAAATTCTCGAAAATAAATCAAACAAAACAAAAGAACTATCCCTGAAATGATACATATTAAAAAAATATTAAAACAGACAAAATATTTATCTAACGTTTATTTTAATTCTAACTAATTGTAAGCTTTTTAATTTTATTCTATATTTTAACGCCACTGATATTTTTTAAATTTGTAAACACTCATGTTTTTGTTTTCCTTTTGTATATATCTTGTTAAATCAAATTATATTATTTCGAATACACCTCCACACGCTGTAAAACAAAAGATGGGGCTTTAACTGTTTTAAAAAATTACATGTGTTTTAGTTCCTCATGTTTTTAAAAATAATTTACTGAACCAGAAGATAAAGAATATGTTATTCAAAATATATCTGTCGCCTATAAAATAAAAAATTAAATAAAAATTTATGACCAAATAAACCAAGGCACTTTATTTATTTAAAGTAAAAGAAATACGAGCAATACCCAAATATCTATTTTTGAGTCTTTATTCAAAGTACAACTAAGCGTCCGTAAAATAAACACATGTGGTTTTAAGGTCTAAAAGGGGCTGAATTTTACACAAACTAGAAATATTTCATGCAATTTCAAACGGATCAGTGTTGTCAAACTTACAGAGTTCACGAAAGACGCTATTAGTATTTTTAAATTCTTCTCAGTATACATGGTGTATATTGGGCGGATGCCATCAAGGGTCATATATATACGGATGCCACGGACGACTACAATTCAATATATATATATATATATATATATATATATATATATATATATATATATATAGAGTTGATAGTCGTTGCTGACTAGTTAATAATTAAACCAGTAATTTGTGGGTAATGCAGCAAATGAAAGAGTACTTTTTTAAGTTTATTCCAAGCTTTCGGAAATGTTTATTTCCATCATCAGGGAGACTAAAATAAAATAATACCACATATTATGATAAAGTAAGGTAAAAATTTTTTTATATTACTTACATCTTAATTAAGGTTGTTCATTTTGGTGGTATTATTCAGTTTAGTGTAAAGATACAAAATGGACAAGCTGAAGTCAATTACAAAATAATATACACAAACAATAACTACGATACTTTAAAACTAAAAAAATATAAATAACGAAAGGTCAATTTGACAATTTGACATGACAAGTAAAATTTTAAATAAATAACAAGTTATTAGAGGTTATGAAATAAATGCGGATAATGCTATGTTTACATAACATTAATATTTTTTAAATGTTCAAAGAGTGATTTTTATATTAAATTAGCTCTGTATTATTTAAATTATGAATTTGGTTTGGTTTATTGTCCAAATCCAATAAATAAGAATAAATTTCACTTAAATTGTTAATATCTGTCTTTTTGTTCATAGAATTTGGTTCCTGTGAAATGAAAGCCATCTCCAAGAAAAGTCTTTTATGGTAGTTATTTTCAATGGCTAATATTTTAATTTCGTCATAATTTATATTATGTTGATATTTATTAGCATGTTCAGCCAAAGCACAACGTTCCGGATGCAGTCTGCAATCACTTCTGTGGGAGGAGATTCTACCTGAAATAGGTCTTTGTGTTTGACCAATATAGACTTTATTACATTCTAGACAAGAAATGTTGTATACTTTGAAATCAGAAATTATTGCTCAAACTAATGAACTTATTTTCACTACTTTTGCCCATAAACAACAAAGGCATTATAACAGACTATTTCATAAAATTAAAAATAACAACATACATAAAATTAATAATCTTAAAATCCAAGAATCACAAATCAAACTTAATACTAAAACTAATTGGATAAAAAATCTTTCTGAAAAAATAATTCCTGATGACATTCTAAAATTCTTATCACTGGGCCCAAAATTTAGTATTGAACCTGTGGTTGGTAGTGACATCTCCATAAAAAGCATTCTAGCTGATATAGATTATATTTCTTCATATATCAATGATAAACACTTAAAAAATATCATGATAGCTCGAACAACTAACGTTATTACTAATCATATACATAATAATACCTCTAATAACTTTTTTTATCATAATCTATACAATAAAACTAAAAAGTTTCTAAAAGATAATCCTGATATTGTCCTAACTAGATCGGACAAAGGTAATATAACCGTAATTCTTAATAAACAACAATATTTAAATCTTTCTAATGAATTAATTCTAAATGATAACTCTTATATACAAATTAATAATGATCCAACAGCATCAATTCAGCTAAAATGCAACAAATTAGTTAAGAATTTAGCTGAAACGAACCAAATAGATACTAATTTTAAAAGAAACTAACTAACTATAAAGGAATATCACCAAAATTCTATGCTTTACCTAAGGTACATAAACCTACTTTATCAGTTAGACCTATAGTAGCATCAATAGGTGCCCCTACTGCTCTTTTTGCTTCGTTTCTTACTGATATCTTAACAAAAGCCTATGACTATGATAATGTTTATTTTATAAAAGACTCCTTTGAAGTCTCACAAACTTTTAATGGTATGACATTACCTAATGATCATGTTATTGCTAGCTTGGATGTAGTATCTCTTTTCAGTAATGTTTACTTAGATGCAGTACACAGATCTATCTATAAAAATTAGGATCGCATAAGCAATCATTGTAATATTAATCAATCAACTTTCATAGATCTCATTTCTTTCTTATTTAATAATACATATTTTTCATTCGATAACAAATACAATAAACAAACTTTTGGTACCCCTATGGGTGCATCTATCTCACCTATCCTAGCTGCTTATGTGATGGATGACTTACTGGACACAGTTATTCCAGTTTTATCTTTTAATGTACCTTTTATAAAAAAGTATGTCGATGACATTATCCTTACACTCCCTAGTTGGGGCCTAGACGAGATAGTAAATACTCTTAATAGCTATGATCCATACATACAATTCACAATAGAAAGGGAAGATGAAAATTGCTCGGTTCCATTTCTAGATACCAAGTTCATTCGAACCCCAGATAACAAAATCATTATCGATTGGTATAGAAAACCTTGCAGTTCAGGTAGATACCTGAACTATCATTCTTACCATAAACAATCTATGAAAGTAAATTTAGTAAAACAAATAAAAAACAGAGTTTTGAAAATCTCAGACCGGTCTTTTCATAAAAAGAATCTAGATATCATTTATAAACTTTTTATTGACAATTCATATCCAAAATCACTCCTTAATAAAATTATATACAGTACATCATATACAGTTAATGAATTCATACAAAATAATGAAATCACCCCAATTATTGAAAACCATGATCAAAACAGTGATAATCTTACACCACATACCCAAAATACTGCTCTACTTAATAATTTAAGGAACTTAGCTCCCAATAACATGAATTTAGTTGTTTCACAAGAAAATAACATACACTTTACCTCTTTACCTTACATCAAGGAGATCACACCTAAACTATCAAGAATTATAAATATTAATAGTAACATTAAGATAGCCAATAAGGCAGTTCTAACAATAGGCTCAATCTATTCTAAACTCAAAGATAAAACCCCCTTAAAATCATAATCAGATGTAGTATACAACATTCCTTGTCTAGAATGTAATAAAGTCTATATTGGTCAAACCATGATCAAAACAGTGATAATCTTACACCACATACCCAAAATACTGCTCTACTTAATAATTTAAGGAACTTAGCTCCCAATAACATGAATTTAGTTGTTTCACAAGAAAACACTTACATACACTTTACCTCTTTACCTTACATCAAGGAGATCACACCTAAACTATCAAGAATTATAAATATTAATAGTAACATTAAGATAGCCAATAAGGCAGTTCTAACAATAAGCTCAATCTATTCTAAACTCAAAGATAAAACCCCCTTAAAATCATAATCAGATGTAGTATACAACATTCCTTGTCTAGAATGTAATAAAGTCTATATTGGTCAAACACAAAGACCTATCTCAGGTAGAATCTCCTCCCACAGAAGTGATTGCAGACTGCATCCGGAACGTTGTGCTTTGGCTGAACATGCTAATAAATATCAACATAATATAAATTATGACGAAATTAAAATATTAGCCATTGAAAATAACTACCATAAAAGACTTTTCTTGGAGATGGCTTTCATTTCACAGGAACCAAATTCTATGAACAAAAAGACAGATATTAACAATTTAAGTGAAATTTATTCTTATTTATTGGATTTGGACAATAAACCAAACCAAATTCATAATTTAAATAATACAGAGCTAATTTAATATAAAAATCACTCTTTGAACATTTAAAAAATATTAATGTTATGTAAACATAGCATTATCCACATTTATTTCCTAACCTCTAATAACTTGTTATTTATTTAAAATTTTACTTGTCATGTCAAATTGTCAAATTGACCTTTCGTTATTTATATTTTTTTAGTTTTAAAGTATCGTAGTTATTGTTTGTGTATATTATTTTGTAATTGACTTCAGCTTGTCCATTTTGTATCTTTACACTAAACTGAATAATACCACCAAAATGAACAACCTTAATTAAGATGTAAGTAATATAAAAAAAATTTTACCTTACTTTATCATAATATGTGGTATTATTTTATTTTAGTCTCCCTGATGATGGAAATAAACATTTCCGAAAGCTTGGAATAAACTTAAAAAAGTACTCTTTTATTTGCTGCATTACCCACAAATTACTGGTTTAATTATATATATACACTGTAAATACCAGATCAGTAGTAGAGACAAAATACATAATACATTATATATTTTGGCCGTTGGTACATTTTTATTGGTTTCAATATTCTAGGACCACCCCATAATGTAAATTGTAAACCTAGCTAATCATATTTTTTGTTTTACCTATTATGTCTAATCTCTTTCTTTTTACAGTGCCTTTGGGAAGTGATTCAGAACCATTCCTGGATGATGATGATTTTTTAGGTCAGCGTTACTTTCAGTACATTACATAAAGTGCTAAAAACATTTTTTTTTATAAAAGTAGAAACAAAACATAAAAATAACACCACTTGAATCACCTCTTCCTCCATAATATTTGGTCTTCTCCTTCTCTTTGTGAAACCTTATATTTAGTTATAAGAACTAAAAAAAATTATGAAACTTTGAATAAAACAAAACAGAAATGTCACAAGATCAACATTTAATAATAAAAATAAATTACTTGCGATAGTTTCTCAAATTAATTCGTGAATGATTACGATTTTGTGTAAGTATAAAGCAAAATTTAGTCCCCTGTTTAGGCGAAAAGACTTAGAAAGTGATAGAAATACCCCAAGTCCTCTGACAAAAGAGTATCGAATTTTTACTTACAGTTTGCACGTGTCTTATTTCAGTTGCGCTCTGTTGTTACTTAGCAGCGTAAACTTTATTAAGGTGCGTTCACACTAATACAAGAAGTCACTTTGAAAAAATTAAGATTACGTTTTACATTTTGTTTACAAATACTAGAACAATTTACTTTCGTGCTTTATAAATAAATTTCCCAGCTGAACATTGGTTTTTAGCTTTTTAGAGTTTTTAAAGATAATCCTAAACAGGTGCAAATTCATAAAACAGATTCTTTGTTAAAAAATATATATTATTACAAGAAGCACAGAAAATATTGATTGGACAACTCATATAATTTTTTTTAATTAATATTTTCTTCACAACTGGACTCTGATTCAGACTCATCTCTTCTTGCCGTTGTACCTAAATTAATAATAATTGAACTGCTTGTATTTTTCTCAATCGGAAATAATTATGTTTGTTTTACGTAATTGTGCCACTGAGTGTCAGTAACATTATTCAAAGCTTCTGACCAAGTCTGAAATACATGGTGATGATTATGTTGTTAAAATTTTTTGTGACAAAACCGTTTGCACTGTGACCACACCATCTTTATCATTAAGTGTAAAGGTTAAAGAAAAGGTCCTTTACACTTAATCCCTACTACTCACATATGGCTACCCTCACTCCGAACCATCTTTATCAATTTGTACTGGCAGTGATATGGAGGAGTTCTTAATAATTTATGTCCATATCTATCTAGGTGGAATTCTTTTCGTGGTAGATTTTGACGTACAACTTCCCAAATCTGATATTTCATACCATTGATTGAATAATTAATATTCTTTTCCTGCAACCATTTTATCTTTTGTCCAACTATAACATGCGAACGTACCGCGAATGATAACTGGCATTATAGAATATAATCAAAAAAGGATGTTTCAGAGTAGGTACAAATTTCGTCATGAACCATTTTTCAAAAATTTCTGTTTATATTTTTATGGTAATCCCCGCTTTTTGTTTGACTTTTTAATATGTCAGCATTTTTTATAAACCCTTCTTCAATGCCACCATGGACAATTATGTATCGAATTCAATCTCCTGTTTTTTTACTTGCAGTAGCCATCGTTCCATTTTGCCAACTTTTTCTGTCACTTCCCTTGCTATACAGGGTGGCTCACGCTCAACGGGACGGAGCTTTATGGGAAAACGACCAAAGATATAAAAAATTCGTTTGGGAGGAATACGTAGGTTACAGACGGCTACAATTTAAAATTTGTTAGATGTATACAGGATGTTCCACATAAGAAAAAAAAATTAGTTCATTAAAAATTATTCAAACAAGAGTAAACAATTAATTTCTGGGAGACTTTTTTTCCTTAAAAATTCAAATAAATCGAAAACTAATAATAATAGTAATAGGGAACCTTTAGTTAACTGACATTATTTTTGATGTAGTTTTTAATTCTAAAATAAAAAACAGGGTGTTCCATTAAAAATAATATAACTTTGTATATTTTCTCTTATGTGGGACATCCTGTATACATCTAACAAATTTTAAATTGTAGCCGTCTGTAACCTACGTATTCCTCCCAAACGAATTTTTTATATCTTTGGTCGTTTTCCCATAAAGCCCCGTCCCGTTGAGCGTGAGCCACCCTGTATATTCTCATCGACATTTTTTTTTTTAAATGAATCGATGTTGTTATTTTTTTTAAAGCGGAAGCCAATTTTTCAAATACATTTATTAATTGACCGTGTAGAATATTTCACATCAGGAATTTTTTTTTTTAAATCGTTTATGTGACGATTTCATTTTTATATAACTTGACTTAATATTAAAGAATTGACTTTTGTTGTAATTAAGTTTACTTTTTTAGACATTATTTTCACATACATTGTATCAGAATTTGTTGATTTAGTGTTGAAGTCTATAGATAGTTTTCTGCGAAATATTTAATGCAGCCATTGAATTATACCTCTATCCAAGAGCCTCTCAAATAGTTATCTCATAAAATAGAAAACTAAGTTTAGGATTAAAGTTTTTGATTGATCATTAAATCCTTTCACCATTTTGTTGAGTACTTATAAAAACTTTTGAAGTATCAAAATATACAAATTTTTAACAAATTGACAAACATGATGTTATTAATCTACGACGTGCCAAAATCTAGTAACTTTTTGTTTCACCCATTTTACATTTAAACAATTAAGAAAGCGAATGAACTCGGGGTATTTCCGAGACTTTACTTATTTTTATTCTTTTTGTTTTTCAGTTTTAGGATTAGGAAAAGATGACTATGACGAACTAGGTATACAAATATTTATTTATGATAATTGTAGATGCGATATAACATTTTATATTTAACAAAAAAAACAATAATTACCCACTTACTGCTATTTTTCAGTTAACGCAATACAAGATTTGAAAGCGGAATTAGGTACGTAAAACATACTTTGCAAATATAAAATTAATATGCATTGATCTTTATTCTTTATTGCAGAAGCATATTTTCCAGCCAAAGCAAGTATGTTTTTTACTTATTAGTATATTACATATCGAGCCGGGAAGTACTCTATTAGAGCCGAGCGTCTAGATCAGGGATTCTCAAAGTGGTCCGTTTCCCAGGGGTCGACATTAACGAAAATTAATTTTGGCGGTCGACGCGGTCTAAATATCGACCCCTATTAATAAACACAAGTTCTTATTTGAAACTTTTAAGATACGTGTACCAACTTGTTATAAGAATGACTAATATTTTGGAAGTAACATTGTTGTACTTTTAAAAAACTCAATCGCCCGTATGAATAAAAAAGAGCATTTGCTTTTTCTCGCATAATCTGAAGTAAATGCTGCAAGTCATATGAATAAAAATTTCAGCAAAAGGTCTTACTCATAAGTAAAAGCAAATGCTTCATGAAAAAGTGAATACTTCTTCTCGTATGAATAAAAGTGAGTATTTACTTTAACTTGCAAGCATTTACTTCTCTCAAAATGCATCTAGTTCAGAGCAGATGCATGAAACGAGTTCTGTGTACTAATTAGTTGTTTAAAAGTGGTCAAAGGTGGTGGTTGTGTTTAAAGTTGACAGATCTTGCAGTGAAATTGTTGGTGATAAATATATTATAGATGTCGTAAATTTTAGAAAAGTTAAGTTTTATAAGCGACAACAATCACCACAGGTTAGATTTGAAGAACGGTATGTTCAGTGGCTGTCGAATCAGTTTCTAGAAGACAATCGCGGGGCACGGGGTAATGCCCTTAGTCCAGAGTTAAAAATGAAATTTTTTTGCGGTATGTTGCTGCCCTAGTTTTCAAAATGGTATAGGTGAAGAGATAGGAGGGCAGTAGTCAACAGTATCCCGTACAGTCAGCAATGTTATGTCAAAAATTGTTGAGCAGGCTCCTCAATGGATAAAATTTTCGAAAAATGAGAACGCGCTAATTCATGCAAAGGAGACATGGTTGGACAAGTATAACTTCCCAACGGCATTAGGAGTCTTGGACTGCACTCTCACGTACGTATACTAAAACCGCAACACCATGGAGACGAAAGGGCTGGCCGTCACTTAATGTTCAGGCAAAGAATACCTACCCAAGAAGCGAAACTAAATGGGCGATTGGTGGATAAAAAAACTGCCAAGTTTTCTCAGTGTTTTAGAGGTGGTTTAATATCAAATATAGCTGTCAATTTATGTAGAGCAACCAGAGCAACGTTTGGTATATTATTATTAGCGTTTTGTGAAAATTGTAGTATAGTTAAGTAGTTGTATTTAACTAAGTAGTAATTAGAAATTAGTTTAGTTTTAGAATTACACAAAAAAAATACATTGCGTTATTCGGAAATTTTATTGAATGTTCTTGCATCTGGCTGTCAAAGTTTTTTTTTAATTTCTAAATCAGTATTACCTATAATGATAATTTACGACTACGTATTACGCATCGTTTAATTTCTTACTCTTTTATTTAAATATGTTATTTTTGTTTGTTTTTCAAACCATTCGAATTAAAATAGTAAATAAACAATAATACAAAACAATAATTAAAATATATGACAAACTCACTTCGAGGAACCAAGTCGCTGCTATCAGGATGTAATCGAAATGCCTTTACAGCTACCTAGAGTACTTCTGGATATGTAACGTGTAGAGGGTGGGTTAAACCACGGCACTTAGGCCTCACTAGGCCCATTGTGTATCCTCAGAAAATGATAGGCACCTCCTATCTCATGAGCCAGCCTAAACATTTAATGTAGTTGACTACGTCGCCAAGAGGTGTTTCTCTTATATCGGCCGGTGTTAGCCAATGCTGAAAACAAATCTTCTAATAAATGAGAGCGACTGGCAATCGTAGAGGATATGTTCAATGGTTTCATCTTTTTGTTCGCACCACCAGCAGGGTGCGGATTCTGACAGCCCCATGATATGGAGATGCTTCTGTACTTAGTAATGACCAGTCAGAATGCCTGTGATCAGACGCAGATTCTGTCTAGTCATAGTCAAGTATTTGTTTGTTGTAGTGTTGTCAGGATAACTTAAAATCTCCGTGGTAACTTAGCAGTTTCTTGTTTCATCCCATTTTTTCTTCAATTTCACAAGGTAATATTCTTTAATTAGATCTGTCACTACCGATGTTGTCAGTCCAATAGAAGGGCCAGGTCCAAAAAGTATTTGGTTGGCCGCCATCTTGGCTAGTGAAACAGCAATAAGGCTACCTTTTGATGTGGCGTCACTTTGTTGCTCCATCTTAAGATGACCACATTGTTGAATGGATTCTCTTGCCGAAGCTTCGTGACATTCTAGTACTAACCCTGATTAAATTCGTAATCTGTTCAGGGTAAGTGGTACTTATCTGCTATCTGTACGGATGAACATGTTCCTACCAGCGATTTCTTTTGCTGCTATGAGAACCTCCGTGAGCTCCGTAGACTACATTGGCACTATTACGCACAGCCCATTTTATGTTGAGGTTTAAGGAATTGGAGTATATTCCACATCATGAACATTGTTTTGTTTTAGAACCGTCGGCGTAAATATATATATTATACCTGCCACTTCCGGCTCTTCTATTTCTTCTGTTATAACTTTATATGGCCTATGGAAGATATAACTCGGTGAGATAAGGTTCATGTTTGCTTAAAGAAGTTGGTGCGTATCGAGCGCCTTTTGCCAAAAACGACGTCTCGCCTCACTAGATCGTACATCAGGTTCTATTCCAACCGTGCAGAGGCGTGTCATTGTCATGAGAACAACCTCCTTGATGTAAATCACAGAGAGTGAGACTAAGAACGACTTCCATGGCTCTGGTTGGTGTGGTTTTCATGGTTTCTGTTATGTTGAGACATGTTATTTGAATTTGTTCTATTTTGCGGATAGCTGTCAATTTTAGGATTTTCGGTACCAAGACAACTGCACGGTATGTTAGCATAGGTCGTATGATGGCCATGTAAATCCATGTGACGACTCTGAGGAAGAAACCCCAGGTGCGCCCCACGGTTTGGTGTCATTGTTCATAAGTAATGTATGCTCTTTTGACTCTGTTTTCTAATTGGGAGTTCCATGTTAACTTATTGTCAAAGGTGCTACCTAGGTACTTCATCTCTGTTGAAAAGTTTTGTTTTGTGTTTAGGAGCTCTGTTGGTTTTAATTCCATTTTCATCATTTCCTTGTGAAAAGGATTATTTGTCTTCTTGGGATTGATAGACAGTGAATGGTCCTTGCACCACTGTTCTATAATTGTTCTCAAAATTCCCTATTTGCAGAATTACCGTCATCAACTTTCGCTATTGTGTAGTGACTGTCACCTATTAAAATAATATATTTGATATAATGAACATAGTAAGAATTTTCTGTCATTGTTACTTTAGTTTGTGTTTAATTCTTATGAACCAAACGACTAAAACTGATTAATTTTTATACGTTTCCCAGTGTATTAAGTTCCCTTGCTTTGGTACATACGAAAACTCATTCAGTTTCGCTTCTTGGGTAGGTATTCTTTGGTTCAGGCGACATGTGACGCAAGATTATATGTTTACAAGTGTAAATATAACGTGGCCGGGCTCTGTACATGATGCTTGAATTTGGAGGAAATGTGAGCTGCGTCAGATAATGGTTAGAAAAAAAAGATACGTTGTTAATAGCAGAACAAGGATATGGAATTGAGTCATGGTTAATGACACCATTCCGTAATCTGCAGACTGACCGTGAAAGAAAATATAACAAATTTCTAGCTAAAGAGAGAGTAGAGTGATCATTGAACAATGTTTTGGCCAGTTATCGGATAAAATTGGGAAATGTACCAAATATGATTTTAGCATGCGTAGTATTACACAATATTGCAAAGATATTGCAAGATCGGGATTTTAAAGATGTTGGTGAAGTGGACAACGATCCCCCCATCCCCATTGAGCACAAGGTGAGAATTTGAGACAGCAATAATTAAATCAATGAATTTTCCTGACCTCAACCAAGACTTTATAGAGACTTCTAATACACGAACAAACGAATACTCTATTTGATTATTGTAATTTTTTTTGTAATAGTAAATCAATAAAATACGGTATATATGTAATACGCTTTTATTTTTGAACAGAAGTCGAACAACTCAAAAAACATTTATTATACATATTCAGATATACCATACAGTGTATCAAGAATAAGATTTATTTATAGGCATTAGGATCTTGCAAACAGTACGAATTATGTTGCTTACATCTGTAGATATGACTTTCAATCAATGTCCAAGATTTCCCTTTTTTTGTGCTCCATTTTTAGTTTTAAGTATTCCTTCTGAGTTCGTTCGAGCTGAAGTTGCTCTAAGAGGATCAACCGCTATAATTCCACGTTGGACAAGTTCCTTGTCTCCTCAGTTTTATCAAATTTATTGAATGGTTTCACACAAGGCCGCTTGGCTTGGCATTCAGATTGCCGTACCCTTTCAATATGCTTCAATGTGGACGTTCCAGATGTCGGTATCCATTCAGTCGACCTACTTGGTGAACGAATATTCCAATTACATGAGACAGCCCCTGTAAAAAAAGTATTGGCTTTAATTAGACGTAATATATGTGAGTATAAATAAATATATGGTTCATTTAATAATGGAGATCTGCTACAAAACTTTAAACATGTTAAATGTAGGTCCTATTTTTTAAAAACGAATACATTTTCTTTATAGATCAACGGTCCTGATATAGTTAAAAAACTCGCCGAGGATCTACTTGTAGAAAAATATTTGAAAAAATATGTTTAAGCTTACCTGAAAGCTGGCCGGTCGTGGGATTTGAATCTTCTGCCATCGCCTGCAACAATATTTTTTGCCTATTTTATTTTTGTCGGTCTTTTTCTTAAGTCGTGTTTTCATATTATTAATCTTTTTTAATAAATCAGGTGACGTAATTTTTTTCCGAACATTTTTTCGTATTTTTCGGTTATTTGCTGCCTTTGCTTTTTTGGCTGCAGGCTTTTGCGATTTTTCAAGTACATTTGGCTTATCTAGTACATCCTTCGCGATAAACGACACCTGATGGGTACCATCGGTTCCTAAATTGCTACCTTCGTCCATACTTATGTCCACTTCACTTTTCTGACATTTTGCAGACAACTCATAAAGAACCTCTCAATCACGCAATTAATTTTTTGGCACTCGCATTTTTCAAACAAGTTTCTACAGAAATATCTAGTCGCCTCCCTTCACGCGTCCAGGGCAATGCATGATAGTATTATGATAAATATCAGACAGTAACCCGCGTCGCATCTTTTACTTCTTTTTTTTTAAGTATATGCTCGCGTAAGTAAGAGGTTTTGATTATTCATATAGTACGGAGTATATGCTTTTACTTCTACCTTTTACTTGAAGCACTTGCTTATACTTCTACCTTTTCTTTTAAAGCAAATACTCTATTTTTATATATACGGTTAATTAAGTCGATAAGCGTGCCTAAGTACAAGATGAAAAATTCAGCAAGTCAATAAGCGTGGAAAAGTTCGTGCAAGGTAATGAGTTCGATCGTACTAGTCATTCAGGCACATTTTGACTTGCTCTGTATTTGGCACATATACGCGATTTAAAACGAACGAAATCATGATCAATTTCAAGTCCAAATATGTTTCTATTTTATTTACTATAATATAACAAGCTTGCACTTAGGTTTAAAGTTAATTTGCGTTTTGAAATTCGTTGGAGCTTGAATAATAATACACTCGTCTACCAATTTTTTTTTTTCAAGAAATTACAATGTGATTACATAGTTGATAAATATGCATTAAAATAAATTGATTGAAAAATATTTTTCCAAGTATTTTTTGAAATTTCATTAGAAAAGTTGTTTTCGTTTTTTATGCTGATTGGTACCTAATACAAATTTTCTATACTACAGTGACTATATCCAAGTTAAACAATAAGAAAGTTAGTGAGCATGCCTAAGAAACATCCAGTGCCTAGGTGTGACAAGAATAAACTCGTTTGCAAATTTAACAGTTTTATTATTTTTTAAGCAGTTTCTTAAATATATTTTGTATTTGCCCCTTTAATGTGAGTTTTATAATGTCAGACACGACAAAAAATGCAGACAATACAGTTTGGACTAATTGAAGTTTGGATTTATTTCATCTCTATCAAATCAACAGTTACCGATGAGTTTTATATTTAAAAAAGTTTTCAGTAACGATTCAAAAATGGAAGACCACTTATGCTGACAAAAAATAGGGCCTTGTCATTCTTTCAAGCACTTAAAGAAACTAGAGAAAAGGCCAAATATAATATCAATATTTGCGTCATCATCTATGCAATACGTTGATGGTTTACGAGCGTCCTATAATATATATTTAGTATTAGCGAAGTCGGGGGACTCCACATAATTGGAGAGCAGCTTATTTTACCAGCCATTGCGGAGGTCCTCAACAGTGTATTGCACAAGCCCGTACATGGTATAAAGAGAATTCGTTTGAGCCATAACACCGTTCAGAGATGAATAGAAGAGATGGATCGAGACGTGGAAAACAATTTATTCATTTTTTACAGACTAACAAAGTCTCCCTCCAGTTGGACGAGTCTACACTACCCGGCAATGAAGCTCTGTTGTTAGGATATGTTCGATATATTAAAGACGAAAATATGTGCTAGGAACTGCTTTTTGCTACATATTTAGAGACTGATACCAGAGGAGAATTAATTTTTCAGGTCATGGGACATTTTTACCGACAAAGCTATTCCATAGAAGAACTTTGTTTCTCTATCCTAGATTGCACCAGTCTTTACAATATGTTATTAATGCTGTCAACAAGATGCGAAGAATTCTTTGAACTCTCGGTTGTTTGCTTAGCTCAGTTATGTGTTACTCGGTTACTTCTGCACACTGAATTTCGCTGCCGATCAAGAGGCTCCTGCTTAGCAAGATTTTCAGTTATTTTTGAATCTGTGTTAGAGTTTTTACAGGAAAAAGATTCGAATTTGAAAGAAAATCTAAACAATAATTGTAAAACACATATTTATTACTTGACTGATATCTTTGGTATGTTTAACAAAGTAAATTTGCAGCTGCAGGGTGATAATCTCAACTTGATTAAAACAAAATCAATATTATCGGCAATTGTAAGTAAACTTATCCTTTATAGACAAAATTTAAACAGAAAAATATATTCACAGTTTCCGCATTTGTCAAAATTACAGGTAATGTTTCAATACGATGTTATTTTATTATATGTCACAGGTTTGGGAACCTCTTATATTTACAAATTTGTCAATGAAATCTGTACAGTATCACAGCCATGGAAGAAGCCAATGTGATAATGCAAGAAGAGTTGATCACCATCAGCAAAGACGAGAAGCTTAAGCAGAAGTTCAACCAAGGCTATCAGAAGTTCTGGTTGCAGCGCAACTTTGAAACACAGTATCCTGTATTGTGGAACATTGCTGAAAAATATCTTATCGCTTTTCCATCATCATACCTTGTCGAAAAAGGTTTCAGTGGGGCTACAAACATTTTGAAAATTAACGAACGCGGAGATTTAAGGCTGCAACTCACCAATATTGAACCAGATTTAGCTAGATTGGTAGAAATTCACCAGATTCATTCACAACACTGAATTTTTTATTTTTTTATCTTTACTATGCAATTTCAATGTTTTTTTTTTAAATAATTACCTGCTTAAGTATTTTTCACTGAACTCTATACTGTTATAATGGAACGCTATTCCTAATAACAAAAAGTGTGCCGTTTTGATTTCGCGCATTACGTCACTTAAAGTTAATACTCATGCGTAGTAAATAGCTTTCATAGCCAATTCACAGCCGATTACCAGCTCCATTACGTTAGGGTCAGGGCCGGCTTTATTTATTAAATTAATTTATACATTTTGATGTACATCTAAAATAAAGTTTTTGAAAATAGCTGACTCGTTTTAAATCTCCATTTTTTTCGAGGGATTTAATAAACTCGTTTCATATACATAACAGTGAGAGCATATAAGTTAAATTTAAAAGATGCCCTGAGGTTTATCAAATTTTGCTTGAATACTAAATATTAATTTGTAATAAAACAGTCTTCCACCATTGTGATTGTACCATAAGGTGATTGATAGATAATGATAATGTATATATAAATAGGCAAAGACAAAATAGTTCAGTATTATTTAACTAGCTGACCCGATCCCGCTTCGCTGGAATTTCTCAAATCTCAATTATTAAAAGTTAACTAACAGTTTTTGTTATTCGTTAGAATTTTTTTCATGCGATACTTGAAAAAAAAATTTTTTTTTTTTTAATTTGGTGTCATCGGCGTCGACTACTACGGCTATTAGCCTCGTTTTCTGTGTAGGCTTTGTTACTGTTTCCCAGCGCCACTTTAGGAACATCACTGTTAATTAGAACCCAACAGTGAATGGTCGAGTGGGGAAAAAAATTATTAATTTTATTTTTATTCGTTTTTATTAATTTTTATTAATTTTTATTAATTTTTATTAATTTTTATTAATTTTTATTAATTTTTATTAATTTTTAATAATTTTTATTAATTTTTATTAATTTTTTATTAATTTTTATTAATTTTTATTGATTTTTATTAATTTTTATTAATTTTTATTAATTTTTATTAATTTTTATTAATTTTTATTAATTTTTATTAATTTTTATTAATTTTTATTAATTTTTATTAATTTTTATTAATTTTTATTAATTTTTATTAATTTTTATTAATTTTTATTAATTTATATTAATTTTTATTAATTTTTATTAATTTTTATTAATTTTTATTAATTTTTATTCATTTTTATTAATTTTTATTAATTTTTATTAATTTTTATTAATTTTTATTAATTTTTATTAATTTTTATTAATTTTTATTAATTTTTATTAATTTTTATTAATTTTTATTAATTTTTATTAATTTTTATTAATTTTTATTAATTTTTATTAATTTTTATTAATTTTTATTAATTTTTAATAATTTTTATTAATTTTTATTAATTTTTATTAATTTTTATTAATTTTTATTAATTTTTATTAATTTTTATTAATTTTTATTAATTTTTATTAATTTTTATTAATTTTTATTAATTTTTATTAATTTTTATTAATTTTTATTAATTTTTATTAATTTTTATTAATTTTTATTAATTTTTATTAATTTTTATTAATTTTTATTAATTTTTATTAATTTTTATTAATTTTTATTAATTTTTATTAATTTTTATTAATTTTTATAAATTTTAATTAATTTTTATTAATTTTTATTAATTTTTATTAATTTGTATTAATTTGTATTAATTTTTATTAATTTTTATTAATTTTTATTAATTTTTATTAATTTTTATTAATTTTTATTAATTTTTATTAATTTTTATTAATTTTTATTAATTTTTATTAATTTTTATTAATTTTTATTAATTTTTATTCATTTTTATTAATTTTTATTAATTTTTATTAATTTTTATTAATTTTTATTAATTTTTATTAATTTGTATTAATTTTTATTAATTTTTATTAATTTTTATTAATTTTTAATAATTTTTAATAATTTTTATTAATTTTTATTAATTTTTATTAATTTTTATTAATTTTTATTAATTTTTATTAATTTTTATTAATTTTTAATAATTTTTATTAATTTTTATTAATTTTTATTAATTTTTATTAATTTTTATTAATTTTTATTAATTTTTATTAATTTTTATTAATTTTTATTAATTTTTATTAATTTTTATTAATTTTTATTAATTTTTATTAATTTTTATTAATTTTTATTAATTTTTATTAATTTTTATTAATTTTTATTAATTTTTATTAATTTTTATTAATTTTTATTAATTTTTATTAATTTTTATTAATTTTTATTAATTTTTATTAATTTTTATTAATTTTTATTAATTTTTATTAATTTTTATTAATTTTTATTAATTTTTATTAATTTTTATTAATTTTTATTAATTTTTATTAATTTTTATTAATTTTTATTAATTTTTATTAATTTTTATTAATTTTTATTAATTTTTATTAATTTTTATTAATTTTTATTAATTTTTATTAATTTTTATTAATTTTTATTAATTTTTATTAATTTTTATTAATTTTTATTAATTTTTATTAATTTTTATTAATTTTTATTAATTTTTATTAATTTTTATTAATTTTTATTAATTTTTATTAATTTTTATTAATTTTTATTAATTTTTATTAATTTTTATTAATTTTTATTAATTTTTATTAATTTTTATTAATTTTTATTAATTTTTATTAATTTTTATTAATTTTTATTAATTTTTATTAAGTTTTATTAATTTTTATTAATTTTTATTAATTTTGATTAATTTTTATTAATTTTTATTAATTTTTATTAATTTTTATTAATTTTTATTAATTTTTATTAATTTTTATTAATTTTTATTAATTTTTATTAATTTTTATTAATTTTTATTAATTTTTATTAATTTTTATTAATTTTTATTAATTTTTATTAATTTTTATTAATTTTTATTAATTTTTATTAATTTTTATTAATTTTTATTAATTTTTATTAATTTTTATTAATTTTTATTAATTTTTATTAATTTTTATTAATTTTTATTAAGTTTTATTAAGTTTTATTAATTTTTATTAATTTTTATTAATTTTTATTAATTTTTATTAATTTTTATTAATTTTTAATAATTTTTATTAATTTTTATTAATTTTTATTAATTTTTATTAATTTTTATTAATTTTTATTAATTTTTATTAATTTTTATTAATTTTTATTAATTTTTATTAGTTTTTAGTATTTTTATTAATTTTTATTAATTTTATTTATTTATATTTAATTTTTTTCCCCTCCTTAAAATGTGAAAATCCACACAAACACAAATTTGCAATAATTTTGAAACTAGCAAATTTCAACACGGTAGAAACAACTAAACCAAACTAAACAAACTAAAAGCACAACAATTTTCACTAAACACTTCCTGCTTTGGGCTAAAGTTATCTCTGTTCACGCCGACCAGCGTCATGGCTATCATGTAAGTCATATGCAAGCGCACTTACTTTACGGTACAGTACTTTCAAAATAAATATACTCCATTCGAAGCTGCATGGATGGCACAAAATTTTCACGCGCATGTATCGTTTACTAGCGTTCCAGTAACAGTTACAGTTTAGTGGTATTTTTACGTAATTTGTTTTAAGAATTATTAATTACACCTGATTTACTAAATGTTAGCTTATTTTGTTAAATTTTGAGTTTACTTACTTAACCAACTGCAAAGTTTTTAAATTATTTTGTATCAATAAAAAAAATCTAGATATATGATTTTTAAAGTAATTTGGCTATGGGGGTCTGACGTATCAGTTCATTTTAGAAAAGGAGTCTCTTGCCCAAAATAGTTTGGGAATCCCTGGTCTAGATAGATTACTGAAATGCGAAGCACTGAGGTAAGCTACAGACGCGAGGCTAGAATGTGTTCCCCCGAGGTATGTATTCGATTTCACTCACAATCTGCTATTAATTATTTTATATAGGTTTATAACTTTCTGTTCATTTAAATGTTGTTTTAGCATACTTTATAGCAAATCCAATAAGTAAAAATGAACAAATAAAATAGGAACCTTAATATTAATAACTATTTTACCCTTTAATAAATTATTATTATTATTCTAAATAAACTAAACAAAAAAAAACAAATGAACACAACATTCCAAACTGTATATTTTGGTAATATAGAATATATCATTGTCTTATAGCAACAATTCTTACACAACAAAATATCAAATTAAATAATTACTCTTTCTGGCCTTTGCCTTTGCAAATTGTTTAAATATTTATCTATTTATTTATCTAGCTTCTGTGCTATGTCATTTTCAATTGAAATGATTGCCAGTAATGATAACGATTACAGTAACAGAGATGGTTAAAAAAAGAAACCAAGCGGTTACGATTTAAAAAAAAATACTCCAAGAAAAAGAATTTTCAATGACTATAAAATTTTCCAAATCTTTTATGTGTAACTTTTCTAGATCTATTTTAAAGCTTGGCCAAAATTTAAATAAATCGAAAATCCGAGGGACGGACTTTAAAATATTTGGAATAAAAATTAATGCTAATGGATACTAATTTGGAAGTATTTTGCAATTTGCATACCTACAAAGTTTATATTATTATTTATAATCGAAAATAAATTTTATTTATATACCACAAAAATAGTCCAGCCCTAATATATTAGAAAATATTTGTTAATTCTATTGAGTAGGAGAAAAAGAGAAAAATGCAAGAGATAGAGTACATAATGCTCCAAACCGCATTATGTGGCATTAGGTGGAGTACGTGATCGTTGTCATGCCTGCAGAAAATATTGATATAGAAATTCCTGATGTCATCAAAATGTTTATTGAAATTGAATTATATTGGGGTGGGTGATGAATTGTCTAGAAATCAAAATCAAAATTATAGTGAAAAATCAGCATGTCGGGGGGTTGTTGATTTTGGAAAAATTGTCAGAGAGAAATGAATTGTCAGGAAAAAGTCAAATAAAAGAATAAATTTGTTAGATTTAAATAAAATAGATTTATAGAAATGATATTATTTAAAGAATTGAGAGTAGCAGGAAGGAGAGTTAAGAGAAGGAGCTGGTAAAAAGAGGTAAATACATTAAAAGCTAGGTGAAGCTAAGACAGGGACACAGGTACAGACGACAGAGTGGAGGCAAGAAGCTAGGGGAAATTGAGAAGAGAAGACTAAAGAATTTAAAAATTTGTTTATTTATTTTTTATTAAATTTGATATAAAATATTTATAAATTTTTAGGATCGAACCATCCCCTTTGAGAGTATTAAAAAAATGTATGGAAAAATCCGCCAACGGTCGCACGGGCTATTTTTTTTTTTTCGATTTTAGACCTTCTGAAACACATTTTAAAATACTTTTTTTGCCCTGCAAACGCTATAAAATATGTTTTTCCTACCTTAAAACTATTAAAATGTGTCCTCCAATTTCGATGTTGAAAAAATTTGAACTACATCATTTTGATTAATTTCTTGTTATATAAACTGCTAAATAATAATACTAGACCATCCGTAATACAATAAACCATCCAAATTTTTTCGTAAACAGTTTATTTTCTTAATTTACGACCAGGTCAAACTTCGTCAAAATGATCTAGTTTTCATAACCCCAATGACAATTGACATTGGCAATGTGACATGTGTCTAAAAGAAATACAATGTTGCCATATCAATTATGTATTACATAGCAATGGTAATTTTACCTATGCCCTGCGTTGTACCAGGCCAACCAATTGACTTCAGTATCAAAAATATTATATAAAACTAACGATTTGAAAAATACCCATATCAAGATCTTCTTCCTCACCCTCATCGGCGTCAATATTGATATTTTCTAAATTTCAAGTATCGTGGGCATCTAATAATTTGAAAATAAACAATAAAAAATGAGGCAACGACTTCTTGTAGGGTGGCCGCCACCCGAAAATTTTTAAACCATACCTGGCTACGCCGACCGGCATAGACTCCAACGGCCTGGACACAGCTTAAATTGAAAATAAAAAAGTATTTTTTACAAATATTAGATAATTACCGACATGCCGTAATTAACGCACGATCCATCATGAAATGAAATAAAAAGACGGATTCTGTGATTACTACAAATGTTTTTACTTCGGGATCCAAATTCATCTGCTGGCCAGACACTATGTAATTTTTCAGCCAACTTTCATTAACCAAATTAATTCCTGACTTATATGTTTTCGTACTCGATTTGGCAATACCTCATTTATAGAAACTAGAAACATCAATTGTCATTAAAAATAATTTACTGTTTATTTGTTTTCCTAACAAAGAAAAAATGAAAAATAATAAAATTTGATCGTTTATGAAAAAGTTTGGTATGGTTTATTGCTATGAATGGTCCATTATTGATATTTAGCCGTTTCTACAACAAGAAATTAGTGAAAATGGTTAATTTCACATTTGTTTTATGATGGAGACCCGACAACAAATTTTAAAGATTTTAAGGTAAAAAAAATTTGTTTGTGTCAGCGGACCCAAAATTGCTATGTATAGTGTGTTTCAAAGTGTCTAGAAACTGTCTATAATATTTCAATAGTTATATCGGCCGTTCGAGCGTCGGCGTATAATAGCAAATGTATAATTGATATACAGGATGTTTCTATATCAATATGTAGTACATTGTATCCCTTTGCTTATTTAAATTAATGAAAAAATAATGACTTTTAATTTGCAACAGGTAACAACACTAGTTCAAAGGCAGATAATGTATGTCTATTTTACAAATTAACTTAAAATAAATCCAAAATATACACATACCTATTTATCATTATTTTTTATTGCAGAAGCAGTATTACCAGACGAAGCAAGTATGTTTTTTACTAAATATTTGGGTCTTTTATCTTTATCGATTATAAGCAGGTAGGATAAGATTTGGTCTAGAATACTGTGGTCTCTTAGGTCTATTGTATTTAAAACACTAATCACAAATGCAGCAGGTTATGGTCCAGCCTCGGTATGAATAAATAATCGAACTGACATTCCTCAGAGCCGGTGAAATTTACGGGTAAAATGCATCAGTTGAATGAATGGGAAGGAGTAAAGCATCAAAATGGTAGTACCTGCAATAAACGATTAAGGCTGCAGTGTCGCCATGAGAACCCCAGAAAAGGGAAAAGCAGAGTGCTCCCCAAGCCTAATTAAGGAAAGCTAGTGGCTAGACCCAAGACTGATTGGGGGGAGCTTGTCGAAACCTCTCGGAGAGGAGTAGAGGTGTAATAAACTTTTTTTTTGGGTCTCAGTTCATTACTTTTAAAAATTAATTTATATATTTTAATGCAAAATGTTCAATTCAATATATCATTCACATGACCCTGTATATTGATTTCGATATATAGTTGTATCTAGGCCTCTGTCAGAAATATATTTTTACTTTGGTGGAGACGTACAGAAGGTACCTTAGGTCGAGCTAGTTTTCAAAAGAATAGTTCAGTTTATATTAGTACCAGTAACGTTAAAAATTAAAAAACCAAGACCAGTCAGCCAATCCACCATGAATTTTTGCGATAGAAGCATAAATCGTATTGAAGGTATTATTGCAGTCCGAGCATATCGAAAAAAAAACCGTTTTTAGTTTTTCTTATAATTTCTTTGAAAATTAATCGTGTGTTTAAAATCTTTTTCACAACGATGGGTATTAGATTTTGTTAAAAATAAAAATTTCTCTAGACGACTTTGACTTTATATTTCAATTTATATTTTCGTGTGATTAATTAGATACTTGTTTTTTTTTACAATTAATTGGTTCTGTATTCTCTTCTTTTTAAATATTTAGTTTTCAGTTCAATTAATAAATTAAGATTAGCTTTCCAATAATAAATTCAAAATTTTTCTCATAATTTATGTAAACCGAATTTATTTTTTTTTATATTATTTTTACTTTCCTATCTGTATACAGATAAGGAAAGTATAGGAATCATAATTTTTTCGACCTCGATTTTTCGATGGATTTTTATTAATTAGTACCGGGTTTTGGTATGCGTATTTTACCTGGACAATTTAGTTTATTGAAGCCAAATATCACAGTGATTATTGAACAAAAAAGGTGTTTAATTTAAATAAAATTTGAAATCTAACGTTGGCCGAGACTGTTCAATTATACTAGGTTGATTTTTTGGTTTTCACATGTTAGCCGAGAAGTAATGTTTTGTATATACCTACTTAGATTAGGTGTTAATTTCGTGATACTGGTAGTAAGGAGTATTTAAATACAAAAAGCGATTCATTTGGGTAATCATTTAGTGGGTTTTATTTATTTTTTGTTTAATTTACCGAAATAATTATTTTCTTTAGTTATTGATATTGAATTAAAATACTAGAGTGGGCGAGATTGTTCAATTACATCAGTATTGGGTTTTACGTCAATTTCTTTATATCCGTATTAAGTTTGTCCGAGACAACTCACATTTAGGGATTATATACAGCATTTTCGGCTCTAGTGTTAAGTTTACATCGATTATATCTGGGACCTTACATTTTATCGAATAATTAATTATTAGCTTAGGTTTGGAATTTTGTTGCAAGAATTAACACTTGCTGTAACAATAGTAATTACTAAATTCTTTCCCCTGGTATATTTGGCAATGAATTACTAAATTATTGAGTTATTGAGTTAATTATGTTTCCTGTAGCAGAAATGAAAAGTACTGAAGAAATTATAGTTGGAGAAAAAATGACTGAAATACCTTATGTTGAAGAGGAACAGACTAAAATAAACAGTGCAAAAGAAATTAATACTACTGAGATACCTAATTCTGAAGAACATCAGAATAAATTAACAAATGTAGAAGATACGAAAACTACCGAGGAAGCTATAGTTGAAGAAGAAATCAGTACAACACCTTATGTTATAGAAGAGCAGACTGAAATAACCAGTGCAGAGGAAATTAAAACAACAGAGGAAACTAATTTTGAAATAGAAACAACTGAAGAACCAAAAATTGAAGAGCAAATCACTAAAATTCCTAATATTGAAGTAGAGCAAACTGAAATGACGAATGCAGAAGAAATGATAACTACCGAGGAACCTATAGTTCAAGAAGAAATTACTGAAACATCTTATCTTGAAGAAGAGGAAAATGAAATAACTAGTGAAAGAGAAATAAAAACTACAGAAAAAGAAATCACTGAAATACCTAGTATTGACGGAGAGACTACAGAAAATTCCTATATTCTAGACGAAAGCGCAGAGGAAAATAAAATTGATAAAATCGAAAACAAAGAGGAAACTAAAGTCGAAAATGTGACTACCGAAACACTAAATGCTGAGAAATACGATGAACCTGTAAGTGATAAATACGTAACTGAAGAACCTACTACTGAGCAAGAAGTCACTAATGGATCGGAAGCTTCAAAAGAAATAACAGAAGAACCTAGCCTCAACCATGAAAATACAGAACATAAAGTAGTTGAAGATATCACCATAAATCCCGAAGAGCCCAAGGAACAAGAAGTCGGTGAGTAACTTATTTATTTATATAATCATTTTTTTATAGTAAATAAATATTTACTATACATTTTTACATATACCGCACTTTGTGAGAACATATTTCATTAAATTACAATGAAACAAACATACTTTATATAGTATGGTGAAAAGTATCACGAAAAAGTAGAACAATTTAAAATATACTTAAATTTAAGTACAAATAGGTCTAGTGATAAGAAAAATTAATATTATAACGATTCAGGTGGCGATTAATGCTATTTGACTAAACGGACATTACTATGTGACACAACTGGGTTTACTTGTCCTCTGAAGTGTGGTTGGTAGTCTTGGGAATTCATCAATAAAATTTGAAAAAAACCTTAAACAAAAATTGATTTTACGACCATAAATCGAATTTTAATTTCTAATAGTCAGCTTATCAACTAACTAGTCTAATAGTACATTATACAATTCCGAAATTTTGTGACTCTTCTGAGTGAAATTATTTTGCTTGAAAAATTCGTTAACTATCACCAAATACTCAAAAAGTATTGATTGAATTATGTAAGCTGCTTTAGATCATTCCTATCTACGATATTTACCTACCAGTCAAGAAAATTATCAGGTTTCTACAAAAATAGGTTATTTTAAAATTAGAGATTATTTTAAATATGTAATATCTGCTAAAAGTTAAAAATCTTCACAATTTCGATTCAATATTAGATTTTGTTATAAATTATATGCGTATATGCGTATATGATAGATTTATTTATAATTCAAATAATAATATATTCAAATTTTTATGCAAACACATAACGATATACGCATTGGTACCAACAACTACGACCCTGTTACATTGGGTTTTACATAGTTATTCGGTAGGAGATTATCTACCCCATCAAAGATAATTTTTATTGCTCTGATTTCTGTCCTAGGGATATACATGTTAGTGATGCCGCGAGGCGGAAGATTCTCGTCTCTCGTCTCGTCTTGTCTCTCGAGACGAGACGAGATGAGAGAGTGTCATCTCTCGACGAGAATTTCTCGTTTCTCTCGAGCTCTCTCGGGCTCTCTCGATCTCTCTCGAACAATTTTCTCTATGCCAATTTGAAATTTTTAATTGCTTATCGCAACTTAAAATTTTAACATATTAGATTTCGAGATAGTCAAAAAGTTAACTATAACACACCTATTCTATATACAGGGTGTCCCAAATTGTTTTACCTAGGCTATAACTTCTAAACCCTGCAAGATAATCGAACCGGACAAAAGTCATCCATTATAATTGGCGATATACTTTAAAATAAATTAAAATTTGACGACCCACCCTCAAAAACTAGCCCCCTGGAACAACCCCCTCAAAAATTATTAACGACCCCCTAATTTTTTTTCTGCTCATTTTTCTAGTCGCTACTTTTCTCTGTATAACTGTTTTTAAAATTTTAAAATCGCTCCATAAATAAGTGAGAAATTAAATAAAACTGTATGTCAAGTTGATGATAAAAAATACTTTATTAGGTGACACATAATTAAAAAAATACATTGAAACAAGAGAAGGAGAAGACAGAAAATAAATATCAACAAACAAAGAGTAGTAATAACTTATAATAAGTGCTCAAATTGCCCACCTCCCACTTCCACACATTTGTCAAACCTTAACAATAAATAAATAATTATCATATCGGTGTACTCGTTGGAACAGATTAGGCATTTTGAAATAATTTGTTAGGACTTGACAAACTCTAAATTATTGCAAACTTTATTAAGTAAAAACTGCTAACTTTATCGAGTGCACTTCTGTTTGACAAGAGACATATTGATATAGTATTGTTTATAATGCGCTAAAAAACCCACCATGAATTTGACAGCAAGCAACTTGATGAAAATGAAAAAAATAACCAATCTCAGTTATTTATGGAGCGATTTCAAAATTTTAAAAACAGTTGTACAGAGAAAAGTAGCGACTACAAAAATGAGCAGAAAAAAAATTAGGGTGTCGTTAATAATATTTGAGGGGGTTGTTCCAGTGGGGTAGCTTTTGAGGGTGGGTCATCAAATTTTTATTTGTTTTAAAGTACACTGCCAACTATAATGGATGACTTTTGTCCGGTTTAATTATCTTGCATGGTTTAGAAGTTACAGCATGGGTAAAATAATTTGGGACACCCTGTATTAAATGGTAACAAATGATACTTGTGTTATTAGTATTTTATAAATAGTGATTTATAAGAAAAAATATTTCTCATTTCACTTATTTAAAATTTATACCATTATATAACATTTCTTATATTTAACCCATTCTGCTCTTCTAAGGTTACTTTTGAAGATAAGTTGAACATTTTTAAACTTATTTTCGAAAAACTGTCAAAGAAAAGGTAATAAAAACGAATGTATTATATAAAATAAGGACGAAAATTGTACCCTCCACTAAACTTCTAAATAAAAAAAGATAATGACAAAACTCAACGAGAGATGCACTTTACTTGGGACACGTAAGATAGACGGAGTTACTAGCTTTACATTTTCTAATGGAAAGTAAGGTCATTTGGAAGATATTTTCTATATTTTTACGTTTATATAAACAGATTAAAGTTTTTATGTTTTTACAGAAATTACATTAAATAATTTCATAAAGTAGGTTAAATTCTTTTTTTTATTTACCGCTTCAACCTCAAAGGATCATTACCGGAGGTATAATACCTTATAAATGCTGTTTTCTATAATAGTATACAATGGATAATTAACATTTTGGCTAGTACAGAGTAAATGTCAGTATCTTTTATAAATTAAAGTAATTTTTTAGTGTTAGAGGGATTTAACACTGCACAAATGGCAATTTTTTGTAGCTGGTACTTTGTTCTTATACAGACATGTTCTGGGCCTTTATTAATAAGTTTCATTCCTGGTAACTCTCATATTAACAATTATTGTTTATTACTAAGCAAACGCTTCTTGTATTCACTAAAATAAATAAATTAAAAATATCAAAGGTGATTTAAAAACCACTTGACGTATTAAATTTTTCATAACTTTTTGGTAAAAAAAAGCTTATTAAAAAATGCTCTTATAACATTATCTAACATTTCTAGGATTATTGCGACACACGAGGATTATCAAGAATGTAATTTTTGTAAAAACATAAACACATTAAAACTGTTTGCTTGGACATAAATATTAGCTTATTTCCAATTTTTACATTCGGTCCCATTGTAGCTTCCTTATAAGTCTCTGGTTCCAAACTTATACTGGAGCAATCTATGAAGTAGCTAAAACAATTATGTTTATTTCTAATTATTTCAGAATACCCTCTTTTGTTTTCGTTTAAAACGAATATTTCATGAACAATTTCAGTGCCTTCATCTTCTTGATCAGTTTCATTCTTTTCAGGAAGATTATCTTCTTTAACAGTATCTTGATTAGTACTTTCATAACTTTCTTCAAATAAATTTGAAAAGTTGTAACTTTCAAGACTACTTGAAGTTTCCTCATCTTGGTTAGGAAATTGATTCTCCAAAAACTTTACATCTCGTTCAATTGTAGTCTTTTTTACTTCTCCAGGATCAAAAAGTCTATAGCCTAGAACTTCTTCATTGTATCCAACAAACTACATTCCTTTACTTTTACTGTCTATTTTTTTGCGTTTGTGATCATAAATAAGCATATATACAACCGAAGATTCCTAAATGACCCAAATCAACCTTTATTCCCGTCCATTTTTCTTCAAGAGCTAATTCAGCCTGCTTTATGTGGATATTTATTTTTGAGATAGACAGCTGTATTAGCAGCTTTCGCCACATTTTTTTACTGCATCTAGCTTCCTGCATCATACACCTAGTATTGACGGAGAGACTACAGAAAATTCCTATATTCTAGACGAAATCGCAGAGGAAAATAAAATTGATAAAATCGAAAACAAAGAGGAAACTAAAGTCGAAAATGTGACTACCGAAACACTAAATGCTGAGAAATACGATGAACCTGTAAGTGATAAATACGTAACTGAAGAACCTACTACTGAGCAAGAAGTCACTAATGAATCGGAAGCTTCAAAAGAAATAACAGAAGAACCTAGCCTCAACCATGAAAATACAGAACACAAAGTAGTTGAAGATATCACCATAAATCCCGAAGAGCCCAAGGAACAAGAAGTCGGTGAGTAACTTATTTATTTATATAATCATTTTTTTTATAGTAAATAAATATTTACTATACATTTTCACATATACCGCACTTTGTGAGAACATATTTCATTAAATTACAATGAAACAAACAAACTTTACATAGTATGGTGAAAAGTATCACGAAAAAGTAGAACAATTTAAAATATACTTAAATTTAAGTACAAATAGGTCTAGTGATAAGAAAAATGAATATTATAACGATTCAGGTGGCGATTAATGCTATTTGACTAAACGGACATTACTATGTGACACAACTGGGTTTACTTGTCCTCTGAAGTGTGGTTGGTAGTCTTGGGAATTCATCAATAAAATTTGAAAAAAACCTTAAACAAAAATTGATTTTAAGAGCATAAATCGAATTTAAATTTCTAATAGTCAGCTTATCAACTAACTAGTCTAATAGTACATTATACAATTCCGAAATTTTGTGACTCTTCTGAGTGAAATTATTTTACTTGAAAAATTTGTTAACTATCACCAAATACTCAAAAAGTATTGATTGAATTATGTAAGCTGCTTTAGATCATTCCTATCTACGATATTTACCTACCAGTCAAGAAAATTATCAGGTTTCTACAAAAATAGGTTATTTTAAAATTAGAGATTATTTTAAATATGTAATATCTGCTAAAAGTTAAAAAACTTCACAATTTCGATTCAATATTAGATTTTGTTATAAATTATATGCGTAAATGCGTATAAAAATAACATGTGAGGCGCTTAGTTCCAGTGTGTAATATCTAAAATTTTCAACAAAAATGATAAGATTTATTTATAATTCAAATAATAATATATTCAAATTTTTATGGAAACAACGATATACGCATTGGTACCAACAACTACGACCCTGTTACATTGGGTTTTACATAGTTATTCGATAGGAGATTATCTACCCCATCAAAGATAATTTTTATTGGTCTGATTTCTGTCCTAGGGACATACATGTTAGTGATGCCGCGAGGCGGAAGATTCTCGTCTCTCGTCTCGTCTTGTCTCGTCTCGAACTAGACGAGAAAGACATTTTCTCTCGAAAACAGATTCGAGACGAGACGAGATGAGAGAGTGTCATCTCTCGACGAGAATTTCTCGTTTCTCTCGAGCTCTCTCGAGCAATTTTCTCTATGCCAATTTGAAATTTTTAATTGCTTAACGCAACTTAAAATTTTAACATATTAGATTTCGAGATAGTCAAAAAGATAACTATAACACACCTATTCTATATATATATATATATATATTAAATGGTAACAAATAATACTTGTGTTATTAGGATTTTATAAATAGTGATTTATAAGAAAAAATATTTCTCATTTCACTTATTTTAAATTTATACCATTATATATAATTTCTTATATTTAACCCATTCTGCTTTTCTAAGGTTACTTTTGAAGATAAGTTGAACATTTTTAAACGTTTTTTCGAAAAACTGTCAAAGAAAAGGTTATACAAACGAATGTATTATATAAAATAAGGACGAAAATTGTACCCTAAACTTCTAAATAAAAAAAGATAATGACAAAACTCAACGGATGCACTTTACTTGGGACACGTAAGATAGACGGAGTTACTAGCTTTACATTTTCTAATGGAAAGTAAGGTCATTTGGAAGATATTTTCTATATTTTTACGTTTATATAAACAGATTAAAGTTTTTATGTTTTTACAGAAATTACATTAAATAATTTTATAAAGTAGGTTAAATTCTTTTTTTTATTTACCGCTTCAACCTCAAAGGATCATTACCGGAGGTATAATACCTTATAAATGCTGTTTTCTACAATAGTATACAATGGATAATTAACATTTTGGCTAGTACAGAGTAAATGTCAGTATCTTTTATAAATTAAAGTAATTTTTTAGTGTTAGAGGGATTTAACACTGCACAAATGGCAATTTTTTGTAGCTGGTACTTTGTTCTTATACATACATGTTCTGGGCCTTTATTAATAAGTTTCATTCCTGGTAACTCTTATATTAACAATTATTGTTTATTACTAAGCAAACGATTCTTGTATTTACTAAAATAAATAAATTAAAAATATCAAAGGTGATTTAAAAACCACTTGACGTATTAAATTTTTCATAACTTTTTGGCAAACAAAAGCTTATTAAAAAATTCTCTTCTAACATTATCTAACATTTCTAGGATTATTGCGGCACACGAGGATTATCAAGAATGTAATTTTTGTAAAAACATAAACACATTAAAACTGTTTGCTTGGACGTAAATATAATCAAAATATCTTTCAAATAAGGTATTGCATGACTTTACTTTCCTTTAGAAAATTTAATGATAGCAACTCCCTCTATTTTACGTCTCGAGTAAAGTGCATCTCATTATAACAAACATATCATAATGTTTCACATCGTTTTTGTTTTATGTCTCTATCTTCTTGCATTTTGAAAACATACTACAAAATGCTTTCATTTGACATCGCAGGATTAATTAGAAAAATTCTAACTTCCAATTTAACCTCTTCCCCCCCTCCCCAACTGACTTACAAGACAAAGTATTTTCGTTTTTAGTTAACGCTTAATCACGGCCCACTTATTACTTTAAATTTCAATTGTAAAACGACTGTGACAGACGGACAGACAGAGAGACATAAGTGTTTCTTATTGCCAAATTTGGGTACTAATGCGCAAATGGGGCATGTTCAAAAATTTTGAAATTTTTTTTATGAATAATAGAGTTGAAAATAAAATTAAATTTTTTTTATTTTTTTTTTATCTATTCATTTGCCGGAGTTATGAATTTTTTTAAAATTTATGACGTCACCGGGAATAGACCAATAGGAGCTAGCGCACAACGTTGCCGGCTAGAAGGTTTACGAGAAGTGATGTACGTTCGTTTGTGTACTCCTTCTTACTTTTAGACTTCTAAAACATCGTTAAACAAATATCTTTTAAATATATAATATCAAATGTTTTTTTAAAGTATTATTTCTGTTTAAACTTTTACCATATTTAAGGTTTCATTGTTTTAAAAGTCACTTAATAATTCAGAAAATGGCAAAATGGCAGCACTGTGTATGGCATCTGTCATCATAGTGTCTCCATCAAGAATTTATTTGGAATTTGATTGTTTAATTTTGTACTTTTTATAAATATTATGACTACGAAAAAGTGTTTTGTTCCAGAATGTGATAATGATTCACATTCATCTTCAAAAATATTTATTAGTGTTCCTAGAAATTTGGAAAGAAGAAAATCAACCTTCTACTAGCGATGTTTCTCGTGAACTTTTTAATAAAAATACACCGGATTATCAAGATGTAGCAGCAATTTCTGCTAATTGTCCCCTTCAGGAAATTGAAAATAAGGATACTATAAATTCTTAGGTGTATAACCTAAAAACCCTTCTGGAAGAAAATGCAGAATCTCCTGAAAGTTTTGAAGATACCGAATTTATTCATCATTTTGTGGAAGAACTAGTGATAAAGAAATAATGGAAAAATGTGGGTATTTAAACAAACTGGTTCCTGGATCCCATATAATGGCAGATAGGGGTTTCAGAATAATCAGCTACTTGAAAACATGGGATACACTTTAGTAAAGCCACACCTAGTGTATCACAGAATGAAAAAACTTCTCAAGAAGATGTACAATTAATTAAAAGAATAGCATCTCTAAGAATACATGTGGAAAGAGTTATAAGAAGGGTTAGTTAATTTAACATGTTAAAACCACATTCGTGTGTGAATTTTAAGCAAGTACATTTACTTAGTAATATCAGCATAATTGCTTGTTAACTTACAAGAACCTATTTTGTAAGAGTAAATATTAATTTAATAAACTTTTTTGTTTTTTAATTTAATTTACCTAATTATCACATTTCAGGGATTATAATGAGTTTTTAAACAGCCAATGTAATTTTTGATAAAAATTTAACTTTTCGAGCAAATTGAAGAGGAATGAGTACCTGTATATGCATAGATTTTTTTGGGACTGAAACTACCAAAACAAAGGCACCTATTTACAGCAGTTTAAAATGAAACATTTTAACAAAAACGCCTATGTCACAGTGATAAATATTAAAAACCAAGTTCAGTTGAATGTGGTAGCAAAGTCTATATATTCCAATAAATCGGGTAACTACATGTGGTATCACTGGTGATAAATTTAAAAATATCACAGTTCTTGCCACCTTTTTCAAAAAACCAGAAAGTGTGCCTTCTTATGAAAATGACAACAGTGATAAATGTGAAAAAAAAATTTCATGTTGCTATTCGTTATTACGATAGTAAAACATGTTTGCAGTTCCGTTTATTTTTTATGAAAATCTAAGTAAAAACAACCAATGTCAAAGGGTTTTAATTTTTTTTCTGTCAAACCAAATATATCACAAAATTAAAAATTGATCATAGGTCAAGCTAAAGTAATACCTTTATTAATAGTAGCTTTAAAAAAGGAGAAAGAATAATATTGACTTAAGTTATTATTATTAACATTGGTGATTTTTAATAAAAACTTCAATTATTGTTTGTAAACAAAAATATAAAAATCTGTGAAAATTTTATTTATTAACCTTTTAATAAAAAATGAGAAAAATGAAGTAAAAAACAATTTATTTACAAATAAAAAATATATACAAATCCTAAGAATATAAAAGTACTGATTTATTTTCCTGTAGTGGATGAAGAGGTTTCTTTAACAATCTAGCCAAGTGTACATCATTATCAATAACACTGAGTAGATGTTACAGATGGTTCCTCACTTCTTCTATGAAGCCACATGTTTACAACCTCCTGAAAAAAATAAAAGGGTTAGATATGCAGTTACAAAATAACTATATAACCAGCTACAAAATGCCTTATTTTATGTAATAAGACGAGCACTTTACTAGCTCTGAACGAATCCAGTAAAGAACCTCTGATTTTCAAAACTTAAAAAAAACAAGCTCACCACATTTTCACATTTTTGAAATATTATAGAGCTTTTCGAAAAAACTGCTATTTTTAAAAGTACCATTTTTGTTTAAACAGCTATGTCTCATTTTAGGCTATTGAGTATTATAAAATAAAAAATTACGGGATGCTTTGTTAGCTTCAAACGAATCCAGCAGAGCACCCCAGTTTTTTTTTAAACCACACCACATTTTTTGGCTCCTACAATATTATAAAATATTCGAAATTTGACATTTTTAAAAAAAATTCGCAATTCCCTGACTTCAAAGTTTTTTTTCTGAAAACAAATATACTTACCACATTTTTAGGATTTTAAAACAGCCTAAACATGTGTCATAAGTAGTTGTTTTTATATATTAAAAAACTGAAGTGTCCTGCTGACTTTGTTCCAACAAAGCACCCTGTATTATTTAAAAATAGCAATTTTTTTAGTAAAGTTTTACAATATTTCAAGAGTCTAAAAATGGGGTGTGGTTTTTAGAAAAAAGCTTTAAAAAACCGAATTGCTCTGCTGGCTTCTTTCGAAGGTTAGCAAGCACCATGTATTTTTTAAAAATATAATATTTCAAGTGCATAAATATATGGTGTTGCTGTTTTTACAGAAAAAACTTTATAAAACAGAGGTGCTTTGCTGACTTCGTTCGAAGCTATCAGAGCATTTTAAGTTTTGCATAAAACGAGGAGCATAAAATTTTTGAAAAGGGTATAAAAATAGCCTAAAAATATGGCATGTTTTAACTCAAAATTTCATAGGTGCTCTGCAGCATTCTTTGGTATCATAATTATTACTAGGTTCACTAACAAAATCTATTTCTAGATTATTTTAACACTTGCTGCGATTACAAAAAATGTCTCTTTATGTCAAAATTAGAAAAAAAATATTTATAAGAATAAAGGGCCTTATACACTGTTTATTATATGTGATATAAAAACAAAAAAGCATAATAAATATTACAAACCTTGAGATTCAACATATCCTAAGCATTGTGCACTAAAAAACAGCCACATCATAAGGTTTTTGCTGTACTTTATGTTTAGGTGTAATTTGTCTCCTTCTCTCTTATGGAAAAAGTAAATATCTCCATATTCTTGCTTGGCAGATCTAAAAATAAAACCTGAGATAAATATGTTTTACTATAAAGTGTACTGCTTCATATAAACTGTAACTACCTACCATTAAAACAATTTATAAATAAAGTTTTACCTTTCTATCTTTTGGAAACTGAGTATTGTTAAAAAATGCAGTAATCATCTCGGTAATCATATTTTCGTTTACAATGGGAAAAATACTTGATTCAACTTTTATAAATACAGCTGATAAATTCATATTCTTCTTCCTTTATATATCCTATATCCCACAGGATAATTTACCCAGATAAATGCAGATTAATAATAAAATTAAACCAAAACAAAAAACTAAGGTTAGTTGTTAGGTGCTGTCAATTTTTAAATGTCACTTAGATGTGCGTTCACTTCGACATTCTGTATGTAGGTTTGTTCGTTGGCTTGGTTTTGTAAAACAAAAAAACTTCGACACAAGCTGATTGGTCTATTCCCGATGACGTATAATTTCAAATTTTAAATTTCAATTGGGCTTAATTTAAAAACTTTTAGCTTTTTTAACGAACTGATTATTTAGAATAACTTGTATAGCGACTAACTATTACAATATAGTTTATAAAACAGCATATCTCACATGTGAACATGGCCCATTACTTGAAAAATTCTTTGTTTTTGTCTTAAAAATTTTACGGTTTTTTTCATGTTTCGACTTTTTCAAATTTAAATTTGATATTGTTTTATCACGAGAGAAACGAGAATAGACGAGACAAGACGACATAAAAGCTCTCTCGAGCGATAGACGCGTCTTCTCGTCGAGACGAGAAAATATTTTTCTCTCGCCCTACGAGACGAGACGAGAGAGGCCACTCTCTCGTCTCGTCTTGTCTCGCGGCATTACTAATACATGTTATTGATTATAGTTGTATATATTTTTTGTGCCGTAACCATCTATATATTTTTATTTCTGTCCAAAGGACATTCATATTGCTCTGATTGTTTATGATAAGTTACATTTTATATCCACTCAGAGTAAAACTGGAGCTAGGGCAGCTCATCAGACAATCAACAACCTGTAGATCTTCGTATGTTGATAATTGCCTCAAGTTGAATTTAGTGGCAACATTGAGCCTAAACGTGGACTACATTCTGCGGGAAACTAGAAGATAACAAGGCCTTTATCCAAACCTAATCAAAGGGTTAGGTGACGTCGAGAAAAGCCATTTTACATGCTTCTTGTTTTTGAATGCAGTACTTGCAATTCTGACCGATCTAAGGACTTGTTTGAGAGTGACGTGATTTTGTCAAAAGCCGAATTGCTAATCAGTATAAAATTGTTTTCGGATATAACTGTACCTATTTATTCTTTTTTAGAAGGAGCTTTTCAAACACCTTGAAAAGCAATGGTAGGCGAGAGGATTTTTAAAATTTTTTAAACTATTAGTTCATTTTTATTTCATAAGAAGCCTTTAACAATGACTAGGGTTCCTCAGGGAGATGTTCTTGGGCCATATTTTTTTTTAAATTGATATGACTGACCTTCAGCAGCATCACATGTAACGTGATACGTAATTAATAATATATATTCAGGAAATAATTTCCAATATGCTATTTATTTGAAATTTTATTTTTAAAATTATCAGATAAATTTAATTTAAATTTATTTACACCATTATTTTTAATTACAGATGAATTAGGCGATAAAGTTGTAGCATTATATGCACTAATATTAGCGAAAGAACACAAAATAAGTAAGTTTGTTTTATTTTAATGATTTTATATTATTTGTATATTTGTTTTGATACGATATAAATTGTTTTTGTAGCTAAATATGAAAAGTTGGAGATCGGTTTTATTTCATAAAAATATTAATTTTTTACAGTTGATTGGATTATAGAGCAACTGAGTGAGTATTTTTATACATTGCTATGATCATTTAAAATGTAATGAATTAGAATTAAAAAATGTAGCAATAACCGAGGAACCGAGGAAAAGACATTGAATTGATTTCTCCTTGTGTTTTCTTTAGTTTAACATTTGATTTGTATCCCGTTTTACAATATGGAACAAAGTAATTCTTGCTTTGATGTTTTTTGTCACTCGTGTTACGTGTACTCGGGTACTTTTTTTACATTATTTTAAAAAAACACTTAATTTTATATTGACTTACATAGAAAATTAACGACGCCGACGTTCGATCTGAAAACTACAGTCAATTTGGTGAATTTTATAAAAAGAAGGACGGAAATTTGAAATCTTTCCATTGTCGATTCGCCTCCTTCTCTCTAGTCTTCATAGTTATACCAAACTTTATGAGAATTTGATTGATATATTGTTCTTGGTCAATTATAGTTTTTTTTTCTCTTCTTATTTTCATACCTGGTATTTGTCGAGCATCTCCTAGATCCTTTATTTTAAAATGCAACTCCATCTCTTCTTTTAAACGATCTTTCTCTATTATCAGTAATAATAAAAAAATCATCGACATGAAGCGCTAAGATTATAAATTTTGATTTTAAAACCTTAAAGAATAAGCAAACGTCCAGTTTAGATCTAGTATATCCTAAATTTAAAAGCACTTCAGTTACTTTAATATTCCAAGATCTAGCTTCTGTATGTATACTAGGGTGGAGCGAATTTTTTGTATTCGGTTGGGTTACAAATTAGGCGCCAAAAGTTGCTCATTACTACATAGTCTAATATTAAAAAAAAGAGCTACTAAATATTTGATTAGAGGGTCCGCATGTAACACACAGAATGGCAAAAAATTTAAAAAATATGTTTTTTTTTTAATTAAGCAAGCAAATGTTTTTTTCTTGCTTTACACACTAGGTCACAAACCTTGATCATAAATATGCAGTTTAATTAAAAAAATATATTTACCCAATTTTCGATCATCTTCAGGGTCCGTATGAGAGAAGAAAGATAACAAATATTTCAAAAAACACGTCCTTTTTAAAAAAATTATCTTACATCAAACACCGATCTGTCACAACTTTTTGCATTAAGATGTGTTGGAACTGTGATCAATACCGGCACGAAGGGAGGTATACTGAGACTAATTGAGTTAAACCTAAAACGACGCTTTTTATTTGCCAACTCAATGGAAATGAACTTCCTCTTCGATATTTAATAAATTAAGACGGTAAAACAACAGGACCAAAAAGTTTTTTTGGTCCTATTGGTATTTTGTTGCAAACTAACATATACATACTAATATAAGCTCTAAAAATATAACATTAGATTCAACCACTTTAAGCAGAGATCACAAATATTTAATAGAGATTAGTCTAGCTGTAGCTTCCGAAAAAGTTTCAGAAGACCTTGCAAAAAGGAATCCTGGCAAGTTGTCACATGTTTGTGAGTTGACTTGTGCGAGTAGGATATCACGATTATATATAGTGACGAATGATCTTTCTGATATATTAATAACACATATGTCGTAAAAGTATATGTTCCCGTTTGGTTCAAAATTAAAAGCAATTATTTGTGCATTGATAGTACAAAAAAATCTGTTTTATTTAATAAATTTTTCTAGATATTTGGATGAATCTGTGCTACTATCCAAAGTAATGCTTATTTTGGCCATCCAGAAAACGTCCTTCTCGGCATGGTTAAAGATTCACATCATGTAAAAAAACTTGCCTTCCGTCGAATTTTAAGAAGTAGAGATTATGAAAACAAATATGACAATAAACCCAAGATCTTCAAAATACCTAAAATTCATTTTCAAGCACAACTATATTGATGTTATTGACTGGCAAAATACTAAAGACATTAACCTTTCCGCATTATTCAAGTATTCAGATGATGAGCTCATGAATTTTATTGGAATAGGTAACATACCAGATATTTTAGAATTTCTTTGCCACACTCAAATAGTTGAACCACACATAAAGCTTGTAACCGACGCTTCATCTTCTGTGTGTGGAGAGTCTAGAAGAGATGGATATATTCGTTCTAAAATAAAGTCCCAAAAAACACTCAAATTTGAATCAAAAAACAAATTAAATTTATGAACAATGTCATACATTTGTTGGAAGGTTGGCGGCTCTCCACGTGGTGAGCTATGGGTTAATTTTTGTAATATCGGGTCTTTTTTTCCGCATCATTATATTACTCAAATTAAGCGAGGAATTGCTAGAAAGTGTAATACATTTATTTTAATTAAATAGGTTTGTACTAATTTTATAACTAAAAAAATCATGATTTTCACTTGGTCTGCGGGACCTCTAAACCTTTTTTAAAATAAAAAAAATCAAAATTCTTTTTCATCTGTATACAAATATAACACTTTTGCAAGCTAATGTACATTTAAATTAAAATAATTGATATTATTTTGACAATTTAATATTATGTAACAAAAACACGAATATTTAAAAATCTTTTGACCTGCGGATTTTTTTCGCTCCACTCTAATGTATACTTCTTCTTGTAACTCTTCATTCAAGAAAGCTCTACATACATCAAAATGATAGATCTGCAGTTTATATTTTGCTGCAATTGTAAACAAAAATCGTATTGTTTGCCGTCGGGCGACTGGTGAAAAAGTTTCAAAATAATCTACACCATGTATTTGCGTAAATCCTCTTGCAACTAACCTGGCTTTAAATTTTATTGAGCCATCAGCTAGAGGTTTTAATTTAAACACCCATTTACAGCTTACAATTGTTGTATTGTCAGGTAAATCAACTGATACTCAAGTTTTGTTTTCTGAAAGACTTTGAGATTTTTCTTTTAAAGCTTATTTCCAATTTTTACATTCGTTCCCATTGTAGCTTCCTTATAAATCTCTGGTTCCAAACTTATACTGGAGCAATCTATGAAGTAGCTAAAACAATTATGTTTATTTCTAATTATTTCAGAATACCCTCTTTTGTTTTCGTTTAAAACGAATCTTTCATGAACAATTTCAGTGCCTTCATTTTCTTGATCAGTTTCATTCTTTTCAGGAAGATTATCTTATTTAACAGTATCTTGATTAGTACTTTCATAACTTTCTTCAAATAAATTTGAAAAGTTGTAACTTTCAAGACTACTTGAAGTTTCCTCATCTTGGTTTGGAAATTGATTCTCCAAAAACATTACATCTTGTGCAATTGTAGTCTTTTTTACTTCTCCAGAATCAAAAAGTCTATAGCCTAGAACTTCTTCATTGTATCCAACAAACTACATTTTTTTACTTTTACTGTCTATTTTTTTTCGTTTGTGATCAGAAATAAGTATATATACAACCGAAGATTCCTAAATGACCCAAATCAACCTTTATTCCCGTCCATTTTTCTTCAAGTGCTAATTCAGCAACTGCTTTATGTGGATATTTATTTTTGAGATAGACAGCTCTATTAGCAGCTTTCGCCACATTTTTTACTACATCTGGCTTCCTGCATCATACACCTAGCTTTTTCTAAAATTGTTCTGCAATTCCATTTTGTTCGGGATAGTATGGTACCGTCCACTAGTGTAAAATTTCATATCTATTTAAAAATTCCTTAAAATTATGGTTGACGAACTCACCTCCATTGTCTATTCATAGCTTTTTCATTTTTAGTTTAGTCTGATTTTCAATCATTGTTTTAAATTTTTTAAAAGTAACGAAAACATCATTTTTATTTTTCAAAAAATTTAAAACAATGATTGAAAACCAGACTAAACCAGAAATGAACAAGCTATGAACAGACAATGGAGGTGAGTTCGTCAACCATAATTTTAAGGAATTTTTAAATAGATATGAAATTTTACACTAGTTTACATTTTTTCTTTTAAATTCATCTATGAAAGTAAAAATATAAAGAGTTTCACTTCAAGATGAAACAGGCATCGGGCCACAGAGGTCACAGTGTAGAAGTTCAAGTTTCACAGTAGTTCTCTTCTTTCCAGTTGACTTAAAAGGTAGGTATTTTATCTATTTTTTCTTCTAAACTCGTATTTATTTGAAGAATATTCCGTAGCCATACACATTTTTCAACAAATTCCTGTTAACCCTGTTCAAATGTGCTAAACGACTATGTTTTATGTGAATCAGCAGTTCTCACAGAATAGGAATTTTAATGATTGAATAATTTGCTTCTTCTGTAACATCTATGGCGTATTAGTCCAGGATCCGTTAAGGTCGACCTTCACCCATCTGTTTAATGGATAAAAGTTTTTTTTATTAGATAAAATATGTTTTTTAATATACCGCAAATGGGTTGCCTAAGAAAATACGGTCACGGCCATTTTTTACTTTCCTTTCTGTGTACAGATAAGAAAAGTATAGGAATCATGATAAAAGTTGCTTATAATGTCATTCTCTATTATTTTGTCCCTATAAATGATTTCCCCAAAATAGACCTAATTCGAGATATTTGAGGAAACGTGCAAATTTCAAATTTTGAAAACTCAAAAACGGATGAAGAGAAAAACACCAAATTTTAAACTTGAGCTTTAATCCATCCTGCGGTGAGCAGATTAAAGTTTGGGCATAGTCAAAGTATCTGGGGAATGCTTTACAGGGAGGGTGTCGTTTTTTTTACTTTAAGAAAATATATAGTCTGGACCGTATTTTCTTAGGCAACCCATTTGCGATATATTTATAAACTTATTTTATTTAATAAAAAGAAACTTTCATGCATTAAACAGATAAGTGAAGGTCGACCTTACTTCGGATCTTAGACAATATAGGCCACCTTTGTTAGAAACTTTAGCAATAATAGTGCCATTTTTGTCTAGACAGTTACAACCAGTCGTACGTAATACCTTTTAGACACTAACTTGCTAACTGACAATAAATTTACTTGTAGTTCAGGAACAAATAGTGAGTCACAGATTATCGTGCTGCAGTCTTCATTCTTTAGTTTTACGGAGTCGTTACCCTTACCTTCACTAAATAGTTTAGAATCATTGGCAACAGTTACTTCTAAATTGAACATAGAATTAGTTTTAAAAATATAGAGCCAGCTCGGTGAGAATTCATGTGTGTCGTCACACCAGAATAAACATACCAGTGGCTATTACTGGTAAGACTACCAAGTGCAGTAACTAAAGCCTTTTGTTGACGTGGCTTATAACCAGGGTAATTCTTTGTTATCTCCTATTTGGAAAGTTTGGTTTAATATGTCCAACCTCACCACAACTCCAACATTTTACGGTGCACTTCCTCTACTTGGGTTTAAAACTACTATCAAGTGCATTTTCAGAGTTATTTTATTTATTCATCCAATGGGTATTTTGTAACAATTTTGTCTTAACGAAATCGCTTGATATTTGTGAACTTGAGCTTTCCATTGCCATGATCATAGGATCATAATCGTCTGGAAGAAAATTATCTTCTACGGCTTTATTCATGCTACTAAGAGACATTTGCAAGGATATTAACTCGTTTACATAACCCTCCATAAATGTAAAATTTTCCAATCATATGGAACACATCGCACTTAATATCCGCACTCTTCTGTGCAAACCCTTGTCTTCAAAAGCTTTTTCCAGACCATCCCACATTTCTTTAGCCATCTTGCAAATACGTATATGAGGGTAACAACAAGGCAATACCATAAGGCCTATTTTGGTTAAAGCCTTTTGGTCATTTTTACTTTTCATAGCTTCATCGGATTTATTATGAGCAGGATAACCAACAACCGCACACCAAACATTTTAATCTCGTAAAAACATTTCCATTCCAAATTTCCAGTCTTGGTAATTTTCTCGTCCTACCAATTTAGAGATAGGAGGAAGAGAAGCATTGTCATCTGCATCATTGTCATCTGCATCATTTTTAAAACTCAAAAAACCTTTCTATTTTACTTTCTAACTAGGCATGGTCTAGGCCCATAACCTGTAGTGATTATAAAATGTAAAAGCTGTATGACAATACTTTATTTTTGAAAAAGACATCAAAACTTGACATAACAAACTTATATGACTAAACAAGTAGTAAATTGATAAGACTTTAAGATTAATATTCCAACAGAATCAAACGGTGATATAGTAATCAGTGGTATAGCCAGGATTTGTTGTTACAATCAAACGTATAATGGTGAAGAAAATTCTAGGATTGTCTAATTTCCTCGAAACCTGGTATTCAGAAATGTACAAAATTTGGGATATGGGGGTTTAATGTTATAATTGATATTTTGTGATGCAATTACAAAATCAAAGTGACCATATTCCAAAAAACGATAAATATGGAAAAATCGCAAATAACAAAATAGTAACCGGAAGGTCCTTAGACTTTCAAATCCCAAATTTTGTAGATATTCGAGAACCCTTTTTATAGAAAATAAGGTATATGTTTCTAAACGTTTTCCACCCTATATTAACAATAATTCGATGAAAACAGTTTTAAAATAAATGTGTAGCAGACAAATTTATTTTTAATTCCAGATCAAACAACTGCCTTGGTACATACAGACGAAGTGGCTGAGGAAGTTAAACATATACAAGGTATACATGCATTATCAATTTTTCCTTGGGACAATACTTTAGTGATTTATTATTAATTTATACGAAATTTAATAGTAATAGTAATCTAAAAGAAAAATATGAAAGTCTTTATTGGTTTTGACCGATAGTGTATCTGTAACGTGTGAAGGGTGGGTTGCCCTACGGAACCAAGGTCTCATTAGGCCCCTTGTCCGTCCTCCTAAATTGATAAGCCTCTTAGCTCGCCAGTCAGACTACAGATTTGATGTAGTTGACAACGTCGCCGAGAAGTGCTTCTGTTATATTGGCTGGTGGCTGATACTAGCCGAACACGAATCTTCTAATAAATGAGAGCGTCGATCAATCGTTCAGGATATGCTCAGTGGTATCATCTTCTTGTTCGTACCACCTACAGAGTGCGTACTCTGACAGAACCAGAACCTATAGAGATGCTTCCGTACTTTGCAATGACCAGTCAGAATGCCTTTGGTCAAGCGTAGATTATGTCTAGTCATAGTCAAATATTTGTTTGTCAGGATAATTTAAAAGCTCCCTGGCAACTCTACAGCTTCTTGTTTCAACCAAATTTTCCTAGAATTTTTCATGAAAATGTTCTTTAATTCGGTTTTTTCCTTGTAGTTCTTGGGTTTTTAGGTGCTGGTTGAGAAATAAAACTCGTGTATGTAGGCAAAGCTTTCGGCACTGATCAGTGCCTTCTTTAGTAGTTTTTTTTTTATATTTGTACATTATTATTTTTACAATATCAAAATCGTTCTACAAGAAAAAAAATTTTTTTTTGTTTTTTACAGTTCACATTTAATTTTTATTAAATTATATTTTTGCATATTATCTTTAGTACACATTGGGGTGTGTCATTATACTTGTTGAAATGTTTGAAATCCTTTTTTTATTATTATTATGTAATTACTTTCTATTATCCTTGTCATGTCCGTTTGTGGTGCTGTAATATCCGTTGAAATTGTATGGGTGTTGTTACCCTCTTTTTTTCGTTTGCGGGCCCTCATAGAGGTCCGGATTTAAAGAAATTAATTTGGTTTACACGTTTTTTTTTTTGTTTTAGTGGTTTAACGACCATGCGGTTATTGCTAGATTTGTCAATTGACAGGATTGAAGGTTATTTATTTGACGTCAAAAAAATTTTTTTTTCTTGTAGAAAGATTTTGATATTGTAAAAATAATAATAATAATAATGTACAAATATAAAAAAAAACTACTGAAGAAGGCACTGATCAGTGCCGAAAGCTTTACTCACATACACGAGTTTCATTTCTCAACCCAAGATCTACAAGGAAAAAAATATAAATTAAGGTGTAAGAAAAAAAAAACTTTAGAGAAGGAGATTTCCTTTTGTAAAGTACCAATATTTAATTAGGTTTGTCATTACCGATGTTGTTAGTCTAATGGAAGGGTCAGATCCAAAATAGTATTTAAGCAGGAAACAGTATTTAGTTGGCTTCCATCTTAGCTAATGAATCAGCAAGACAGTTACCTTTCGGTTTTCGGTCCGTCTTAAGGTGACTACCTTCTTGATAGATACGTCGCGTCAGTCAAAGCTTTTTAATATTCTAGTGTTAACCCTGAGTAAATTTGTGGTCAGTCCAAGGTGAGAAGTGCTTGTCTGTTATCTGTATAAATGAGCATGTTCCTAGCAGTAATATTTTTTCTGGTAACTTTTTTGCAGGTATGAGAATCCCTTTCAGTTTGGTTTAAACTACACGGAACTATTTTTCACAGATCATTTTATGTTTAGGTTTAAGGATCTGGAGTATACTTCACATCCTGAGCATTGTTTTGTTTTAGAACCATCGGTGTAGATATGAATCGTACCTGGTACATTCGGCTCTTCTATTTTTTACGCTTGAAGCGGTATAAGCGAATCGAGCGCTTATCGCCAAAAGCGACGTCTTACCTGACCAGATCGTCCAGATCCTACATCTGGTTCATTGTTATCAGAGCAATCTCCTTGATGTAAATATCAAGGCTCTGGTTGATGTAAAGTTTTAAACAACGAACTGAGACTACTCAGGAAGGCCTCCTGGGATCATTATTTTTAATATACAGGGTGTTAAAAAAAAGTGTCACAAAATGAAATGGTGAATAGTATGACCCAAAATAAGCAGTAAAGTCTTAATAAATATATGACCGCAAATTAACGGTTTCGGAGATACGGACCATTTTGTGTTTATAACAATTTTTTATTATTATAAAAAAACAATGATATTTATAAACAATCCATAACAACATAGAGTTAAATGAGATGTTCAAAGTGCCCTCCCTTCATTTCAATGCATTGCCATTTGCACGACCGTACATAAAATGCATGTCAGCTAATTCAATATTAGTGTAAACAGGCATAACGAAAATTTATAAAATTATTCACCCACAACAAAATAATAACTGCAAATAGTATCTATGAAAAAACATCGGTAGACTCCGATAAGAAAAGCAAGTTTTTGAGAATGAAAAAAGATAATCAAAAAATGATACAAAACACAAAACACTCCGTATCTCTGAAACCATTCATTTGCGGACATATGTTTATTACGACTTTTCTGCATATTTTGGCCCATACTACCCCCCGTTTTATTTTGTGACACTTTTTCTTTAACACCCTGTATATGAATAACTTTTAGTCATACAAGATGATACGAAATGTATGTTTCAAAAATAATTCTTTAAGTAAATATAATATGTATTTAAAATTTTACTAACAAAATTTTCAGACAATTTATTTACCGCGATATTTTTAATTACAGATGAATTAGGCGATGAAATTTTATCATTAAATGCACTAATATTAGCTAAAGAACACAAAATAAGTAAGTTTGTTTTATATTACCAACTATATTATTTGTATTTCTTTTAACTCAATATGTAAAATCAACGATTTTTTTCAGCATAATTTAAAAAAAAAATTCTAACTAAATATGAAACAAAGTTTGGTTTCATTTTATAAAAAAATATTCATTTATTTTGCAGTTGATTGGATTATAGGCCAACTGGGTAAGTAAATTTAGATTTTATTTTCATCAGACTCTTTTTTCGTCAACTTTCAAGTCCAGATGCAGTAATTAGTGAGAAACCAAAAGGTGAAATATAACATTCAGTAGGGTAGCCAGGATTAAATTTTTGCAATAAAATGTATATTAGTGGATGTTAATTCTGGAAATGCCTAATTTTCTCAAAAATATGTTCCCAGAAATGTAAGAATTTGGAATTTGACGGTTTAAAGACATTCATTTATTTAAAATAATCTATTTTCAATTATTCGAATAATCAATTATATTCGAGCACTAAACGATTATTATTATTATTATTTTCGGTTATTTTACATCAATCGAGAGATTGATTATTCCCATTATTTTATTATTAGATTAATGGGATATATCGATATTATTTAATTAATTTTTAATCTTACGTACGATTGTTATTAACTCATAGATTATTAGCAAATATCTAATCCAATTACATATTAATAGGTTAATTAAACGATCGTTTTATAATATGGAATTAACGATCATATTTATTCAAAAAAATTTGTTTTTATTTTACAAAACCAAATTCTCAGAGGTTGTTGCCTATAAGTCCTACAACGCAATTTTTAATGAACTGTTTTCTTGTATTTCCTTTTAAATCGATTATTCGATTATTTCAATTAATCGATTATTCGAAAATAATGTTTGTATTTGAAAAGTCAAAAATAATCGATTAATAAAAAATTATCGATCAATCGAAAATAGTCGAATTATCGAAAATATTCTAATAATCAAAAATAATCAATTAATCAAAAATAATTGATTAATCATAAATAATCGATTAAGCAAAAATAATCGATTAATCGACTATCGATTTTTCTAAAAAAATATTCGATTATTTTGACATCTTCTGGATATAACAAGGGATGGGCAAAATGATCGATTGGTCAATTAATTTTTATTTGAAAAATCGATAATCGATTATTTTTTATTAATCGATTATATTCGATTAATTAAATATTTTCAGTTATTTGATTATTTTCGATTAATCGATTAATCAGATATTTTCGAAGAATTGATAAATCGAATATTTTCGATTAATCGATTATTTTACATTAATCGATTATTTTAGATTAATTGATTATGATTTAAATGAAAGTCTAAATCTAGTAAAGGTCATAAAGAAACTTCTTGGAACATAAACGCTGAATTTGTAATGTTCCCAATTATGCTTGCATACAAATTATAGCCACGCGCAGGGTCGTCGAGAGCCAGGCCGGGCCCGAGGATAATTCTCTAGATCGGGTCCCGTGACAATTTTATAAAAAATATTCTCTCCTCTTTACTTAAATTTCTATAAAAAAAAGTCCCCAACCAGAAACTTCCCCCTCTTGTCTTGTGCCGAACTTCTGAAAGAAAACCAAAATCCTCGCTACGGTTGCCGGGCCTTCCTTTTAACCGCTACCGGGCCCCCATTTGAGTCCGGGCCTCGGGAATTAGTCACGGCTGCCCCCCTTCTCTAGTCGGCCCTGGCCACGCGTTTTATATTTCAGAATTTTTCGTATAAAAAGTATTATTCAAATATAGGTAGGCCCATAATGGATATTTCTTGTATTTTTAAACACATAATTTTACACATTTTATACAAACCGGCCATATTACTATCCGGTACAATATTTATAATTTTTAGACTAACCTATAAAAGGTTATATGCCAGTTTAGTGTGATGTCATTTTGGTTCCACTGACATTTAATTTTAACCAAACTTTTAACAAACACATTAATAAATTTGACATATACGTTTTAACTGTTTTAAGTTTTTTCTGAATATTGTTTGCAGTTCATAAAAAATAGTTTAAAGGTATGTAACTGATAACTAAACAATTGCATATTAGATGCATGTATTCTATTTACTTTAGCAATATATTTATAAAAGAGAAAAAACGATATAATTTAGGTAAACAAAATAAAAAAAAAACGCACAAGACCCACTCAAAAAATCTACTGCCACTTTAATTGTCAGTGGAACCCTTCGAGCATATATTACTAGAGCCATCATCCAAATGGACTTTGTTTTGGTACAGGGGGGAAAATAGTGTCCAGCATTCCCATTGGTCTGCTTCGTTTTGCTTGGCATGTCAAATCGTTTGAAATTATCAGAACTGTCATTTGACTTTTGATTTTTATTAATTTCTAGCTTATTTTTGTAGTTTATAAGTGATTTTTTTTTGTATTTTATTACATTACTGATACAAAAATTTAACAATGGTGAAGGTTTGTGTAAGTTGTATATAGGTCATTTCACAAGTAAGTAACCATTAGCGTCTTTACCATTTTTTTTAGAGCATCAAACATTTTGTGCAAAAGGCCGTTAAACATGAATTTAAAATAAATGGCAAATTTAGTGAATTAAATTTAAAGAACTTGTATTATGTATGAGAAATATTGTTTTAGATTTTGAACCCTACTGAAAGGTTTAAAAAAATTAATCATAATTTTTCAATATAAACAAGCTTTTTGTTTTTAAGTCATTTTATCATGATAAGTTGATATATCATGATAAGTTGAAGATACTAAATCAATAATTTTTGTTTTTTGTAGGTTTCCAGCTAATCCTGCCGAAAAACGCATTTGGTGAAACATATTGAAACTTACTCCAGAAAATATTTCAAACAGTGATATTTTATGTTCTAATTATTTTTCTTGATATATGTTTATGTCAAAGACTGGATGCGGAGGAAGAACTAGAATAATTCCAGGTGCATTGCCATCAGGATTTACTGAGGCCCCAGAAAAAGATGAATCTAAAAGGTAAAGAACCCTGCACTTTTCTTGTGGGTTAATCGTTCAAAATTTTTAATTTTTTAGTGATGATCTGAACAATGAAGCCTCTGTTCAGAAAAAGGAAATGCAGAATTAGAAAACATGTAAGTAACTAAGTACTTTTTAATACAACATAAATTTAATTTTCAAATACTTACCTATTACTACCTATATTTTTTATAAACCACAAAAATTGACAATAATTACTTTTTATTAAATATACCTGTTAACTATAATTAACTATACAGCTAGTCGTTAAGGAATGAGCAAAGCCTAATGTGAGTTTTTTAATAAAAAAATCTGATGTGTCCAACACATGACTTTCCTATCTAGTTATTATAAGCTTTTTCCGGTTATTTAGTACAACCTATTGCAGCATTTCTATAAATGTTTAGAGGATAAACTAAATATGTACATTGTCCACATACATCTACCTCGAAACATTTTTCTATAAATATTCATTGAAAACAAAAATACTGAAAAATTTAAATTTAGCACTTTTCCATTACGGTCCATTTTAGAAAAATCGTGTATAAACAAAAATTATAGAGATCGATATCGCAAACAACTTTTAGTTTAACAATTTTCATAAAAATCAGAATTTTGCACATTTGTCAAATTTCTCGAATACGGACCATTTCAGGAAATTTTGACATAAAACAAAAATTATAGATAATAATATTAGAAGTAATTTTTATTTGAACAATTTTCTTCTCCAAACATAAATAACAGATATATTTCATAAAATATAAAAACGGCCTCCAATAAAGTACCCCCCCAGATGTTCCGACTTTGTCCAAAATCTAATCATTTTACGTCAGGCCGAAATAAACCTTAAGTTAAAAATTTAATGTTTTTTTCTTTATCCGTTTTTGAGTTTTCTTCAAAATTTACACATTTTCTCAAATATCTCGAATACGGTCCATTTTAGAGAAATTATGTATAGAATTATATATAAAATTATAGAGAATTATATTACAAACAACTTTTATTTGAACAATTTTTATAAAAAATTTTTTTTTTCCTTTTTGGTCAAATTTCTCGAATACGGACCATTTTAGAAAAATTTTGAATAAAACAAAAATTATAGATAATTATATTAGAAGTAACTTTTATTAAAAGAATGTTCTTCTCCAAACGTAAATAATAGATATATTCCATAAAATATAAAAATGACCACCTATAAAGTACCCCCCCAGATATTCCGTGTATCGGTTAATGAGTTATGCGACACACAGACACACAGACACACAGACACACAGACACACAGACACACAGACACACAGACACACAGACACACAGACACACAGACACACAGACACACAGACACACAGACACACAGACACACAGACACACAGACACACAGACACACAGACACACAGACACACAGACACACAGACACACAGACACACAGACACACAGACACACAGACACACAGACACACAGACACACAGACACACAGACACACAGACACACAGACACACAGACACACAGACACACAGACACACAGACACACAGACACACAGACACACAGACACACACACACACACACACACACACACACACACACACACACACACACACACACACACACGCACGCACGCACGCACGCACACACACACACACACACACACACACACACACACACACACACACACACACACACACACACACATAGACATCATCGCGAAAATAGTCAAAACGGATTCAGGGGACCTCAAAACGTAAAAATCCGTCGAAAACTCGAGGTCGAAAAAAATCATGATTCCTATACTTTACTTATATCTGTATACAAATAGGAAAGTAAAAAGTAATTTTAAGCTTCTTTTATTAGCACTCCTAGTCATTAAGAAATAATCGAAGCTTAAGACAGTTTTCCAATACAATAAGAATAAAGCTTCACATATTTGTTAACGATTCGCAGTGCAAAAGTATTAACTTGATTTCTATTTGTAGCATATCATTTAATAATCTATTGAACATTGTTTATGTACAATATTTTTATATTTAATAAATTATTGGAAAAAATTCATGTATTGTAATTCTCGTAAACGTAATATACCTACTATTTATTTATACTTTTGATTTTTTAAATATAAGCTTTTTATCTTTTTTATTGCCTATTATTTCATAAATTTGATGTGTTCAATACAAATAATAATAATATTATATATAATAATAATAATTATAATTTACTGTTACTAGATACCTACTTAAATAATGCAAGTTTATAAAATGTGTCCCTAATTTAAAGGTATGTAACAAATTTATTATTTATATTAATTGCGAACCCTGTAAAAATGATGCGACTTTGGTTTAAGTGTCCAAGCATTTCCCCCTCACAACCCAAACAAACGCTGTTGAATTCGGACTCTATGAAATATATATGCTCGAAGGTGCAACCATAATTACATCATCACTAAAATGACGTATTCCTGTAAATTTTTTACTTAAACGAGCATTTATAAAGTTTTTAACTTTTAAAAATCATTCAAAAAATTTAACTTAATTACAAAAATGACACTAGAAAGATAACCCATAAAATTGACAAATTGCACTAACAGTAATGGCAGACTGATCCCACTTTGCGCTTACACAAGTCGTACCTATCTCCGGTTGCCATATCAATGGAAAATCCCTTATTGAAAAAAGTAGGCATACCCAGAGATTTTTGCCACTCTACACTAACATTAATTGGAAGAAAATAATTTTAAAATAAATGTGAGGTTAAATTCTCAAGTAGAAAACTATTTATTTACACTGGCATATATCTTGTGAATTTGCGGCAACAGTGTTTTTTTTTATTTTGAGTTCCAGATCAAACTACTACAATGGAGCCTAAAGGCGAAGTTTTAACGGAAGTACAACATATACAAGGTAGGTATGCATTATCAAACAAATTTTCCATAAGTGCGTATTTTTAAGATTTATTTTTAAAAGATTTATTTTTAAGATTTAGTTTTAAGATTTATTTTTAATATATACGAAATTTAGTAGTAGTAAATAACTACTTATTAATAATTAATAACTAATTCTTCAAAAACAACCATTAACAAATAAATTTGAATTTAAAGAAGAGTTGAATCCCACTTTTTTTTATTAAAAACAAATGTGATAGACAATGCACATGAAATGTTATTTTACACAGTGTCTAACAGCCAAATGGAATACATTCAGTTGCTCAATTACTGTGCATATTTATAAAAAATCCCGAAAAATACATATCAATTTTAGATTATAAAAGTAACACTAAAAATGTAATTTATCTGATTGACGAAATTCGCTAGAACACCCTAAACTATTAATAACTAATACAGTTTCGTTCTTGATAATGGAAAAGCAAGCAAAAACAATTTTCATGGCCTTTTTCGACAAAAAGACAAAAGTTATCAACATTCTTCATAGTTAGCACTCTTAATTTCATTTAAAATTGCTGCGTGTCATTTGCATTTATTAACTACAGATCAGAAACATGGTTTATTTAACAGAAATGTAAAGTATAAAATAACAATTTTACAAATGATTGGTTACGGAGATACAAAACGAACAGAGATTGAAGTCGTTCGCCTATTTTAAGTAAATTTTCCCGATTTGGTCATATATATATATATATATATATATATATATCTCAAGGGACAATTAATAAAATTGAAAAACAATTTCGAGAGCTTGGACATGTAAGGCAGATAAGAAACCTTCGAATTCACTGAGTAATTATACCAAATTGGACGTAATTTGGGGAAAACCCACATACTTCGAGTCGACAAGCAGCGATAATATTATGTGGTATTAGTCATACATCGATCACTCGAATATTAAAAGAAAATAAAATGCATCCCGATAAATTGATATCAACTCATGGAAGACGATTTTAATAGAAGAACGCATTTTTGTAAGCAAATGATGGAAATGTTATCCAACTATAACATGTTTTCTGATTAATGCACTTTAATACTAATCGTCAAAAGTTTCGCTAATGTTCTTATAAATAAACCAAAAAAAAAATAATTATTTACATATTTTATATTTTCCTCAATGCCTATTAATATTTTATCTAATATTCAGCGCAAAACACGTTGGCACGACACTGGACAACCAGGCGTTGAGCGACGTTCCAAAAATTTCGAAATTAATTGGAAGATGGGCACATGGCACAGTAAAAGTATGCCTCTGTTGTTTTCTTTTTCATTATGACGCGAAAAACAAGGATAACGACAATATCGCTTAGCAGGAGATGAACACATGCGATGGATTATACGTCACAAGCGGGGCGCTGTCCTCATCGTGACGTGCTGTAGAGCTCGATTTTTTTGTGAAGAGCACATTTCGTCATAGCTATGCCACAGTTCGCTCAGTACGTCATAACTTTGTGGAGCTTTAGTTGATGGCGCTGGGCTGAAATCTGCTGCTGTAGGGGCACCTGATATCTTAGCAGTGGCGTGTGTACATTAATAAAATATTCTAAATCAAACATATTAATAAGTTAATGTTAAATTTTAACTATTCGTTAGTTAAATTGCTGATGAACTTTAAATTAATAAAACAACTAAAAGTTTAAATAAATAATATATTTTAATTTAATTTGTATAATTTTAAACATTTTCATCATCTTCATCTTCCAAGTCGGAAATATCGGATTCCCACTCATCGGATGACCCCGTGTTTACACTAAATATGAGGGAATCTGTAAATTCATCCATAAAGTGTTCTCTTTGAATATATGCATCTTCATATTTCGCGGGATGGTCCACCACGTTTGCCCATTCCTCCGGGGTTATGCTTCGGAATTTTTCTCTCTCCAACTTTTCAACATTATCCAACTTGAATGTTGTGTTATGTTGACCAACCCAATTTTTTACTGCCAAATTGCGATATACTTTTTGATCAACTGCAGAGTAGACAGACAGCTCGATGCTCTCAAGGTTAAGATAAACATATCAAATTTTGCAGCAGCTATTCAAAATATTAGATATACTGTAGACACGCTAATTCATGAAGAATGGCAATCACAACAAAACCCACAGGAACTAAACTTAAACGACAACACCCAGTCAGGTCCAAGTACAAGCAGGAAGAGACGGTTATTTGTTGAAAAGGAGGACCCCATTCTTAATTTAAGGATATGTAAGGAAATGTATGATACAATAGTAGTGCAGGTAAATGAACGTTTTAGTTTTACTACCCACCTATAGTCTATTTTTATGTATGAGAGAGTAATAAAACAGCATTTCTAATGCAAAACTTAGTACGGTCATTTTAAATATTTTTACAGAATAATCTAAATATTTCCTAAAATTGTAATAAATGTACCTGAGCTATTACAAGTTTTGGGTCTTTTATTGGTCCTTTATAAACATAAGCTGTACAGAACAATAGAAAAAGGTTTGGACAGGCCAAAAGCCCTGCGTATTAAAGATTACATAGCCGTGTCTTAAGATTATTTTCAATAAGTACCTATTTGCCAATTTTGTTTTATTTTAATTCCAAGAATTTCTTACAGTAATCGAATTATAAGTAGATAAATACCTTCCCAACAAATTTCACCGAAAATGCGATTATAGGTTTTCCATTTAGTAAGGAGGTCCAAGTTATGTATTCTTGACAGTTTACTAAATGTCGTTTAGTTGCAACGTGCAAGGTGCAGTGTGAATTCTAGTGTGATTATGGAAAATTTGGAAGGGCCGCGTAAACGACAAAAAATCGGTCCTTTAACAGTTAATGAAAAAACATTAATATTTAATTGTTTTAAATCATTTACAGACAAACATTTATGTAAAAGTGTTGATGACAGAGTGGAATTAGTTAGTAGTACGCTTGGTGTTGGGAAATCTACGATTTACAGGGTTGTTAAAGAAGAGAAATGTGGCGAGTTTCAAACAGCACGTAAAGCTCCAGGAAAACTAAAATTTCAATTAGAAACTCTTTTGAAAGAAAGACTTCGAAAGAAAGTGCATACGTTCTTCTTTAGAAAAGAATTTCCGACAGTAGACAAAGTTCTTGCCACGGTTCGAGATGATAAGGATTACCCTGAAATGAGTCGAAGCACACTATGGAAACTTTTAAAAGAAATAGGTTTTCTATGGAAAAATCATTCCAGAAAGTCTATTTTAATAGAAAGAAGCGATATTGTAGTATGGAGAAGAAATTACCTAAGGACTATAAAAGAAATGAGAAACCAAAGAAGAAATATATTTTATTTAGATGAAACATGGATCAACGAGGGACATACACCAAATAAATTTTGGCAAGATGAAACTGTTACAAGTCGAAGACAGGCTTTTTTAAATAATTTATCTACTGGTTTAAATCCACCATCAGGAAAGGGGCGCAGACTAATAATAGTACACATCGGTAGTTCAAACGGTTTTGTTAAAGGTGGTTTATTGACTTTTGAATCTACTCGTACCGGTGACTACCATGAGGACATGAATGCTGATGTCTTTAAAGAGTGGTTCGAATAAATTATAGATCTTCTTCCTCAGAACTGTATAATAGTAATGGATAATGCAAGTTATCACTCGAGACTTATAGAAAAAATGCCCACAACCAAGTGGTTAAAAAAATATTTACAGAATTGGCTAAATTCAAAGAATATTAAGTTCACTTCTGTGAGAAAAGAACTGTATCATTTGTGTTCCCTTCATAAAGAGAAATTAAAAAAATATGAAATTCATGAAATTGCAAAAAATCGTGGGATGGCGGTGGTTAGATCACCACCATATCATTGCGAAGTAAACCTGATTGAACTGATATGGGCACAGATAAAGGGAGAAGTTTCAAGAAAAAACAATTCTTTTAAAATGAGTGATGTTAAACAGTTGATTTTGGAGTCTGTAAATAATGTGAAGCCTGAAAACTGGGAAAAGGCAGTAAATCATACGATTAAAGAAGAAGAGAAAATGTGGAACTTGGACAATATTACTGATGAAATGATCGAGCCACTCATTGTAAATATTGCGACAGTTCATCTTCTGATTTCGATTCTGATTTGGATTTGTAGGTAAGAAGTAGTTTTTATATTAAAATTATTATTTATAAACGTAACGTTGTTTAAAAGTCAAAGTTTAAACCCTTATACCTACATAATCCGTTTGACACAATGTTCTTAACATACGTTGTGGAAAAATAAAACATTTTAAAAAAAATTGCACTTTTTTACCTTCAGCTGTTTAGAAGTTATAAGCAGGTTAATTAGGTGAAAATATAAGTGTATACTCGAGGAATAACTTCAAAAAATATTTTAACTGTCTACTAAAAGAAGTGATACGCCTATGGATTATGAACGTCTTATTATTTTAATACTCTCTCATACATAAAAATAGACTATAACAATTGCAAGTTTATTTAATAGTGAAAAATTTAAAAACTACCAAGGTTGTTTTCCAAATGAGGACGTTAAAACTGTGTGTAGTTTATTTCCAAACGTAAACATCTTAAAATTAAAAAACGAACTGTCCATACTTTACACCCGAGATGACTTTCTGCAACACAATGGGGCCGTACCGTTATTACAAATGTTTTTTGAGAACAATTTGACAGTTACATTTTCGGAATCTGTGGAGCTGCTAACTATCCTGTGTACAATTCCCATGACCACAGTGGAGAGTGAAAGATGTTTTTCGACACTAAAACCTATTAAAACTTTTTTAAGAAACACTATGTGCCAAGATAGATTGTGCGCGTTAGCCATGTTATCGATCGAAAAAAAAACTCATCGATCACTTTGCTAGCCAAAAATCCAGAAGAATGGCCTTCAACTATTAGAAATAGTATACAACTGCAGCGATACCTATTTTCATTAAGCGGAGAACTTGTTTTCCTAAGGGAAAAACGAATCCCGGTATTCCTTTCCATTGTGTGCTTCACTGCCGCTAGTGCCCACGAGCCGCCACTGATACACAATACGCTGAAAAGCTTAATGTTTGGACAGGGATAGTTGGAAACCATGTCATCGATCCCATTTTCATTGATGACAATTTGAATGGAGATAATTTTTTAATACTGCCACAAAATAATATCCTGGTCATGCAAACCCACATTCCACAAGTTCCAATGAATGTAGTTCCAGCAGGATTGAGCACCGCCAAATTAAGATTAATGTTTTTGTTATTTTTTTTTTACTTTATTAAGAACAAAACTCTATCAATTAATTTTTTTACTGTTCATTTTTGCAATAAATTTAAAAACCGTAGCATTTCTAATAGAGAATAAAGAGTTCCTTTAAACCGGGTATCACAAGCCTTTACTTCCTATTTATAAATTTAGGAGTTGCAACTGTCACTCGAAGAGAGTTGAAGGTAGGGATGAAATTTTCACGTTGCAGGATGTCATTTTATAATCTAAAATAGATGTGTTTAGAGATTTTTATAAATAAAGTATGCACAGTAATTGAGCTATTGAACCCATTAAGCTGTTACACACTGTATATATTTAGAATCTTTAATTGTTTAAACTTATGGTGCATTTGGAGCATTTGAGAAACCTTTAATAATGACCTGGAGCACCTCAGGAAGGTGTTCTTTGACCGTTACTTTTTTAAATCTATGTGAATGGCTTTCAGTGTCACTTACTTATTAGTATTAAGTTATTGGGTGATACGATATTAATAATATACATATTGAAAAATTAATTTCAGATACAGTATTTGTTTTAAATTTTTCTTACAAAATTATTCGAGAATTTAATTTTTATTTCTTTTTAATTACAGATAAATATGGCGATAAAGTTGTAGCATTAGATGCACTAATATTAGCGAAAGAACAAAAAATAAGTAAGTTTGTTTTATTTTAACGAATGTCGTATATATTATTTGTACTTGTTTTGGCATAATATGTAAAATCCACGATTCTCAGTACGATTTTATATATTCTTTTTGTAGCTAAATATGAAACGTAGGGTTCTATTTTATTTACAAAGATATATTTTTTGCAGTTGATTGGATTATAGAGCAAATTGGTAAATAGAACATTTTTAGTTTGTAATGAGCTAACGAGTCTTCAATAATACCCGTATACCACGTGATCTGAAAAAACAAGAAATTTTATGAAAAATTGGCGTGACTTTTATGACAACTTAAACAATAGCTCTTTCAAATATGTCAGTTATATTGTTTTGAGGTTACTAAAATTATTAATGTTAGGTGTTTTTTGGTGATAACATAAATTTAGTAACGTGGAATACGGATACTGTTGAAGACAATTTGATTTTTTTATACACTGATATTACAATAATCTTCTTTAGTTTCACTTTCAGAAAAATTAACCGAAGAACCTACAGCTGAAGTTGTTGAGGAAGTGCAACATATTCAAGGTATGACAATTTTGTTTAGTTTAGTTTTTTAAATATATTGATATATAAATATACCAATGAGAACGTATATAATTTATTTGAAGTAATTTTACGTATGTTTGATTATACAGGTAGTTTCAAAAAAGATTTTTTCAAATAAAAAAAGTTCTGCATCAATATCTGTATTTGTAACGTGTGGACGGTGGGTTACTTCCACGGCATTTAGGCCTCACTAGGCCCATTGTGCATCCTCCTAAGATCGGCACCTCCTAGCTTATAAGATTACAGATTTAATGTAGTTGAGGCTGGTGTTAACCGATAGTCACCGAATACAAATCTTCTAATAAATGAGAGCGTCGAGCAATCGGAAAGGATATGCTCGATGGTTCCATCTTCTTGTTCGCACCCTCTGCAAAATGCAGATTCTGCCAGCCCCATGATATGGAGATGCTTCCGTACTTGGCAAAGACCAGTCAGAATGCCTGTAACTAGGCGCAGATTTTATCTGGTCATAGTCAAGTATTTGTTTGCCGCAGTGTTGTCAGAGTAACTTAAGAGCTCCCTGGCAACTCTGCAGTTTCTTGTTTCATGCCATCTTTCCTTAAATGTCACAAGGGAATCTTCTTTAAATGTCACAAGGGAATCTTCTTTAATTATGTCTGTCACTACCGATTTTGTCAGGACAATAGAAGGGCCAGGTCCAAAACGTATTTGGTTTGCTGCTTTCTTGGCCAGTGAATCAGCAAGACGGTTACCTTTTAATGTGGCGTAATCTTTGATCCATCTTAAGGTGACCACATTGTTAATTGATACTTCGGCCAAAGCTTCGTGACATTCTAGTACTAACCCTGAGTAAATTCATGGTCTGTTCAGGGTGAGTAGTACTTGTCTGCTATCTGTAGAGATGAGCATGTTCCTTCCAGTGATGTTATTTCTGGTGATTTCTTTTGCTGCTAGGAGAAATTCCGTTATCTCTGTTTGAACTACACAGCCCATTTTATGTTTAGGTTTAAGAATATGGAGTATATTCCACATCCTGAGCCTTGTATTGTTTTAGAACCGTCGCCGTCGGTGTAAATATAATTCGTACCTGCCATTTCCGCCTCTTCTATTTGTTCTGTTATAACTTTATATGGCTTATGGAAGATATATCCCGGTGAGGTGAAGTCCATGTTCGCTTGAAGAAGTGGGAGCTATCGAGCGCCTCCTGACAAAAGCGACGTCTCGCCTCACTAGATCCTACATCAGGTTATATTCCAACCGTGCGGAGGTGTGTCGTTAGAGCAACCGCCTTGATGTAAATATCAAGAAAAGTGAGACTAAGAATGACTTCCATGACTCTGGTCGATATTATTTTCATGGCTCTTGTTATGTTGAGACATGCTGTTCTTTGAATTTTTTCTTTTTTACGGATAGCTCTTAATGTTTGGGTTTTCGATATCCAGACAACTGCACCGTATGTTAGCATAGGTCTTATGATAGCCCTGTAAGTCCATGCGACGATTCTGGGGGAGAAACCCCAGGTGCGCCTACAGTTCGGCGGCATTGTTCATAAGCAATGTATGCTCTTTTGACTCTGTTTTTTCTACATTACTGATAATCAAGTATTAAATTTTGTAAAATATGAAAGGTGTACAGGGAAAATAAAAATATGGATTCTTAATAAAAGGTAAATTTTAAATTTCAACATAGGGCTTATTATTAAATAAAATGTTAATAGGAAATAAAAAATAGGTTTAAGTTTAAATCATTGCATTCATAAAATCATTATTTTTAAGTGTTTTTGATTTCCTTTTTTTTTAATAAATAATCCAAAACCAATGCTAAAGTGTGTTTTGGAATTTTTTTTATTTTTAAAATTACATGTTTGATTATAGATTTTAAAGTAATGCAGTACGTTTTATTAGGAATATATTTTTTTTGTGTAATGTAAGATAATATTTTTCCCATTTATATAAAACTTTTTGGGACACAATTATTCTTTGTCTTCTTCTTCCATTAAAATAATTGCTTCTAATATGTTATTTAATTCACAAGAACTCATTTTCAGCTACATGTATCAACAAGACAAAAACTGATTTATATTCTAACAAATCACTTTTAATAAAACTGACGTGAGTCAAACGCGACAGATTCTGCCATACGCGTATGTCGTGCGACGCGCACTGTCCTAACAAACTGTAGTCATCTTACTTTACTAGTTGCCACGCTGTTTTTACGAATGTTAGACAAAAAGGGACAAGCGTTTCTACTTCGCATACATACGTAGGAGCCAACCAAGTTTAGTTCCTCTTATTCAAAATAAGTTTGTTTACATAATCTATAACAGTTCAATTTAGTATTAATCGTCGTTGGTCTGTTTTTTATGTTTTCAGGTATAAACTAAGCAACAAATCATCTTTGTGTGTGGGTTATTCCAACAATACAAAGTCAACATTAAAAGTCGCGACCTCCTTAAATGAGATCGACTACCGTGGAATCCCTTTTACATCTCATCGTCGATCCCCTTGGTGTCAACATAGACAACTTTGGGTATCATAGTTCTAGAGCTGGAGGACTGAAGAAAACGTCCGAGGTTTCTCTGGAGGCAGTCTGATACATCGGTAGCTTTGATATAAAATAGTTTTAGACTCAGTGGCTTTTTCATTCATTTTTAAAATATTTTTGTTTTTAATTACACGTATTCTTTATATTGTATTTGTTTGCTTATTTTTTTATATTCTTTTTTATTTATTATTATTATTAATTATTATATTACTATATTCAAACTTTCTGTAGATATGTAACAAAGGTGTTTAAGGTGTTTTCAAAACATTATGGCACAAACAATTTTAATTAAATAAAAATATAGCACTGTTTTAAATCATTTTGTATTTACGGTTAAGAAACAAATTCAAAATCTTATAGTCTAAACAATTTATGTAAAGCTGGATAATAAGTCTTGTTATTGTTATTTTTAAGTTTAATAAATAAATTAATGCAAAATTATAAAATTTAATGAAAATTGTAACCTGGATATTTAAAATTAGGTATATATGTCTATTTTAGTAGATTCGTCGCACCTACATTGTTCGTTTACGATGTTTAGTTGAATGACCTATTATATTTAAATAAGTTTTAGTCTCAGAGCCTACGTTTCCTATATTATATTTGATTAAATAGCTACTAATAGGAATGAGATCAAAAGGGTCATCAAAGATGAAATTGCTAATATGGCTAATATAATAATAAGCTGGCATCAAATCTTCAACCTTAGGAAAGAACGAAATAATTTAAAAGGGTGCAGTAATAGGCTGTGATTCGTAACGAACTATGATTGACGTCGCTGATTTTTATTTTCTTTATTTATTGTGATTCGTTTAATTAAAAAAATAAAAATTCATAATATTGTAAAGTAGAGAAAATAAAAAAAAGAATCTTCACCATATGGTAAACATCCATAATGCGCAGTGGAGCGGAGGATAACCAGAGTGTAACGGGAGCTACCTTAAAATTTAAGCATTACGAGAATTTTATTTAGATTTTTTTTTATATGGGGATATGTTAAATGTTTCTCACCACAAAAAAATATACTTAAGAAGGTTCTATACCCGTCCGCCATATTGGAAATGTTACTGTTCAAATTGGGAGCTTTTTTTATCCGAGCTTCTTATGCATCGTAGATTGGCGCATGATGACTTTTTTTTATAAACATAAAAAAATAAAATGAAAAAAATATAAAAAAAAGTCATATACGTATAAATGTTATCATCCGCCATTCTTCATTTGCCACTGAGCCATTTGTGTATTTACCATTTTTGAAAAAAGTAAGTAGTTTTTTCTAAAATTGAACATTGCTTAAAAATTTTAGAGGGCGCCGTGAGGTGCTGCCTCCAACGGTCCTCTTTTACGTTTGGATACCATGATAATTCTATGCCAGATGGCGCACCAGTCGCGAAAAGTATGTTCAGTTGCCTAAACCAATAAATATTACAAAGTTACCTCCCGATCTATTTTTTAGAACAGCAAACAACACGACACAGACTAACGGTATGTGTGGCGAAGCCGCCACCCTACGATAAGTCGTTGCTTCGTTATCTTGTTGCATATTTATGGATCGGTATGCGCAATCACAATTTTGCATTAACTACTAATTTTATCACAATCTGGCAACGTTGTGATTATATTTTCTAAATTTGACAGAAACCATCGAGTTTCTATGTTTACAGTCGTCTAAATGCTGATTTTTATAGAAATTAAATGATTTTTTTTTTGACTTAAATAATGCATTTACCGCAATTTTTTTTTAATGTACTATTTAAAATACGCTCTTTCGGATAAAAAATAAATTTCTTTAAAATTGTAATGGACCTAAAGTCGACCGTACCCTTAATTCAGTTCTTCCCTATTATTAATAGGAAAATATAGTCACTACTAACACAAAAACAAATAAATTATTAAATTATTTTACACTATAAAGGCGGGTACAGATCTGAGCACGTACGCATATGAGGCAAGCCGAGGCCGAACCGAATGCCTCCTGCGACGCATTTTGTATACACGAATGATATACGCACGAGGCACTGTTCGCCACTGATCCAGTAAATTCGCGAGCACGCAACTGTATACCCAGAAAATTCGTAAAATTAAAACAAAAATGAAGGATGAGGATGACGTTGCGGACTTAAGTGCATGCTTTATAATTTTATCCGACACATTAAAGAAAAAAGGAGGGGAATCGATGGCTGATTTCCTACCAAGGATATCCTTTTTTTATTGTGTTGTTATAGAACTGGCGTTTTGCTCTCTTAAGATATCACGCTGATTATTTAAATCCAGAAGAAGCAAAACGTTTTCCTGGTTCCATTTCTTGCAAAATAATACTAAAAACTCGCTATAATCTGTACGGTGCTGTATGGTACAAATTCACCGTACAGACTGAGCACGAACTGCGCATTGCCTCCCTTTGATGTACCGCCATGAAACGGATCGGAGCGAGGCCGTACGGCGCACACAACGAGGCAATTTGCCGCGCCTCGGAAGCCCGTCAACATCTGCATGCGCATGCGTCCTCGACTTGCCTCATACGCGTACGTGCTCAGATCTGTACCCGCCTTTAGGCATTCCAAACAAATGAATTACCAGTGGGCAGGTTTGGTATATCTAAGGGTGGCGACATATGGTGTATTATATCTACTTTACATAAAATCATGAATAATGGATTTCATTTAAATATTTTATGTCAAACACAATAAAAATAATATTTAAAAAACCCATCTATACATTTCTTCATAAATTGGCAGGCTTGGCGAGTACTACTTCGAATAAAAATAGCGTCCAAGTTGCAAGACTATGTCGCTACCCCCTTAAATATACAAGAATTTCCCACTGGCACCTATTGTTTGACAGGTCGTTGGAATGCCTAATTCAATCAAAAAGTGTCAAAATAACTTGAAAGTTCGTCCCGAATTATGTCACTGCGCGGTTTGGACGAAATTTTAATCGAAAGTCAGTATACCGTTAAGGCGGGTACAGATCTGAGCACGTATGCGTATGAGGCAAGCCGATGACGAACCGAATGGTGAAAGCACGAGGCGCTGTTCGCCACTGATCCAGTAAATTCGCGAGCACGCAACCGTATATCCAGAACATTCGTAAAATTAAAACAAAAATGAAAGATGAGGATGACGTTGCGGAGTTGAGTGCATGTTTTATTATTTTATCCGACACATTAAAGAAAAAAGTAGAGAATGGAATGCGATGGCCGATTTCCTGCCAAGGATATACTTTTTATGATGTTGTAATAGAACTAGCGTTTTGCTCTCTTAAAATATCACGCTGATTATTTAAATCTAGAAGAAGCAAAACGTTTTCCTGGTTCCACTCCATGCTAAATAAATCCTAAAAACTCGTTGAAATCTGTACGGTGCTATGATATAAATTCCCCGTCCAGACTGAGTACGTACTGCGCATTGCCTCCCTTTGATGTACCGCCAACAAACGGATCGGGGCAAGGCCGTACGGCGCACACAACGAGGCAATTTGCCGCTTCTCGGAAGCCCGTCCACATCTGCATGCTCATGCGTTTTTTTCCTGCCTCATACGCACTTGCTCAGATCTGTACCCGCCTATAGTGTGTATCGTGGGCAAACAATAAATGTTGAGTGTATTTTGCGAATTTTGAATTCAGTTCCAGCTTTTAGGTTCGGTGTTGCCGTCTCTACAGATAGTTTGTGAATCCACAGACAAAGCTCATAGTAGCGTTGGAAATATGTAGTCCGTTTTTAAAATACATTTCTACAAAAAATTTAATCCTAATGAAAGTTGTTTTTATTACGAAACAAAACAAAACAAAATTCACAAAAAAATAAATAGGGTGTGCATAAAATTGCTATAAAATAGGTAGTAGTGTTACAGAATAAATACAAAATCCGAGCGCGAAATTATGAAACGAGCTTGTCGATTTTGGTCCGAAATTATAACATAACACACATTCTAAAAAAATTATCGTAAGTTCAGCTCCGAAAATTTTACAGTCGGAAAAAATTAATACGTACCGATTTTGCTTAAATAGTAGAGAAAAAGACATTCCTATAGCAAAAATCAAGGGCGCTAATGGCGTTTTATAAAATTGCACTTTTCGACAAGGCTTTGAGCTCATTATAAAACCCAAGTTTAAAACCCCATTTATAAACAAATAATTTTCTATTCTATAATGTGCAAATAAAAAAAAAAGAATGCCACCCTTGGCAAAGTTGTAATTTTATGTGTTGTCATCAAAATAATTGATATGTCTGTGGTTGTCAATGTCATTGCGAATGCGAATCAAATAACATACATGTGTGTTTATTAGTAAATTAGGCATTCCAAACAAATGAAGCGCGGTTCTAAGGTTTAGTATGTCTAAAGGGTTGCGACATACGATGTAGTCTATTTACAATACGTGAAATGAAAATTAATTAATTAAATATAAATATTTAATATCAAACACAATGAAAGTATTATTTTTATAGAAACCGTTTATGTATTTTCTATAAATTGGCAGGCTTGGCGATTACTATTTCAAATAGAAATAGCGTCCAAGATGGAAGGCTATGTCGCAACCCCCTTAGATTTATGAGCCCTTCCAACTGACAACTATTGTATGACAGGTCTTTGGAATATCTAATTGTGCGAGAATAATCACTGTGACTTTAATAATTCGACAAAGAAGTGGTTTTTATTATGGGTCATGTACAAATAACAAAACAGCAAAAGATTGGTTGGATTACGTCACGTTTTGTGTTGTACAAGTCTTAAACTTGTACGATTATATATATTGAGCATTTAGGGGCCGCATAATTAGGTTATCATTGGACGAAGACTGTTCAATACAGTATCTCTTAAATTTCAAAATAAAAACTAAAACATATAATATATTTACCTACATATATTTATACGCTTTTCTATTTATGAATGTGTGAAGGCTAAAATAAGCTCAAAAAACTAAAAACCGTGTTAAACTTATTAAAGAAAAACCGGTTATACATAGAAATCTAATTTTGTCAATCATCAACGGCCGAAAATGCTACGTCTAGATGTTCTTATCCGAGAATTGGTAGACTATGCAACCACAAATACACAGAAATGTATTTCAGGCTGCCTAACAATTTTTTTAAAGGGGAGGATTATGGCGAAGAAGTAAGGGACGAGGATTTCGAGGTTATGTATGAAATTGACAGAGCTGATTGGTATAGAACTCTCTCAAGGCGAAATTTTGGTAACATTACATCCAGCATGTTGGACTACCCAGTTACAAATTCAAATGGAGGTATT